GACTATTGTGGTTTACTTTATCAAACGCTTTCTGAAAGTCTGTATAAATAGTGTCCAATTGAACACGTTGATTTAAAGCCGAAAGAATTTTCTCCTGAAAAAGTAGAATATTTGTAGAAACTGACATTTTGGGTCTGAAACCATGTTGGTTATTAGAAATGAGTGGAGTCATAATTAAAGACAATTTTTTTGTAATTAGTGCTTCAAACATTTTCGGAATGATGGACATTTTGGAAATCGGCCTATAACTTGTAACATTATGTTTATCTCCAGATTTATATACTGGTGTTACAAATGACCTTTTCCAAATGTTAGGGAAATAACCCAAACTTAATGATTTATTAAAAATCATATGAAGCGGACGAGCAAGAACCGAGCTACAATTTTTTAAAAATATAGGTGGAATACCATCAGGTCCAGTACCAGCATGAGCATTTAAAGAATTTAAATAATCAACAATTTCATTCAGATAGATAGTCCAGGAGTGTAAGTTCAAATAATTATCAGATCCACCAGAAGGGAGAGGATCAAGTCCATTAAAGAGCGGAAGATCTTTGGTATAGACACTTGAAAAATAGTTTGCAAATAATTGAGTTGTTTCTAAAATATTATTAGAAGATGAGTTATGGTAACTTACACAGTCCGGATCAGAATTATTAGACTTCTTTAGAGAGTTAATGAAATTCCAAAAAGGTTTGATATTTGTTTGAATACTGTTTTCAATATTGGAAATATATTGAGCATGGCATATATTAATAAGATGTTTACATTTTTTTCTTAAAATAGAGAAATCATAATAATTAATATCAGAAGGGAATAATTTAAATTTTTTATGGGCACATTTTTTTTTAATTATACAATCTCTGAGTTCAGAATTTGCCCATATAAGTGTATATTTATTATATATTTTTGTTTTGGGCACAAATAAACCAAAAGAGTGATAAATAATTTCATAAAATTTTTCAATAAGCAATTCAAAAGATAAATTATAATTCAGATTAAGATCAAAATCAATACTCTGAAGAAAATGAGAAATATCATCAAAGTTACAGTTTTTAAAGTTATAAACTAATGGAGATTCAAAATGTTCATTACCCAATGAATTATTAAATTGTATTATAAAATCTAATGGTGGATGATAATTATCAATTATTGGAACAAGAGATTCTGACGAATGTAAACTATTTGTATGTTCAATATCAGCACTAATCAATATACAATCAAGAGTTCGACCACTACAGTTAATTATATGGTTTACTTGTTTCAAATTTAAGAAATTTATATAACAGTTAAAAATTAGAGAACCTGTAATATGATCTTGAGTGATTGGATCGATAGACCAGTCAAACTGATTTAAATTAAAATCACCAGTTATAACATAATTATAATTGGGGTACATTAAATAAATAGACTCTATGACCTCACAGTGCTTAGAATATACATCACAAGAACTGCCTGGTGGAATATAAATACAACCTAAAATTATATTAACATTATTTAAACTAATTTTCAAAAAAATTTGTTCAATACCCATAACACTAGAGACATTTAATACGTCACAACTAATTTTTTTATTTACTGCAATTAGTACACCACCACCTCGTTTTTTACCATAGGACAAATTATTACGATCATTACGATATAAATTATAATTAGTGAAACCAAGTTCAGAATCAAAAACATTTTCATTAAGCCAAGTTTCAGTTAAACATATTATATTATAATTAACATTCAACAATGCGTTGCGTAAAAAAGGGATCTTTGTTAAAAGACCACGGACATTTTGGTAGAAAATATTAATTATAAAAAATTTCCAGCACGGGCATTAAAACGGTTATCTTTAGTCACGATGGTAGGAGTTCCTCTTATGTATTTNTTTTTCAAAAAATTTCCAAATTAAACCCAACCCAACAGGTAGATTCATATTAACATGAATAAGAAATTTCTTCTCACGAGAGGAGACTATAGTGATGGGATCCTTGATATTTATTGAAATTATTGAATCTAAATGTGATAAAAATCAAATAATTTCAAAAATTTTTTCTAATTTAAAAAAATGCAAAATATTATTGACACAGGTAGATTCAAATCTTGTACCCTTAGCGTGAAAGACACAAGTTTTACCGATTTGGCAACTATTCGTTGTTTTCATTGCATGATAAAATTAATTATTTAAGCTGATTCAAATTTAAAAATTACTTTTTCGACTTTAAAAAAGTAAAAAATTTTTAATAATTTTTATTTCTTATGTCTTATGAACTTTATTCTATGTCAATTAAATTGTATAATATTCATGAAAGTCAGTGTATTCGCCTTGTAAGATATTTTAAAATAAAATAAAATACAAAACCTAGAATTTTAACACAAAAATAGTACATTTTTGAATACGGTATCTATTTTCATTAAGAAGTAAATGTATATTTCGAATTTTTAGCTTCGATGCGATGCTGAGAAGGTATTAATTTTACTATGATGTGTTTTTTTTATTTATTTATTTTTTTTTGTGTCTGTTACCACTTTTTCTCAGCTCTCACCGAACAGATTTCTTTCAACGATACGGCAAAAGATCACAAATCATATCTAGTCGAACACATTACCCTCAAAAATTGAAAAAATTTTACTCGTTCCCCGTAAATGGGTGAAACCTCCAAAAAAATTACAAATTTAAAAATCACTAATTTTCGAAATTTCTTCAATTTTATTTTACTTAAAATTGTCATAACTTTTTTAAAAATGACCGATTCAATATAATTTTTTTTTTATAGATACCTTAGATATTTACCTATCATTTTATATATATTTGTGAACATTTGACCCTTTAACAGCTCACAGGAAGGGTTTCAAAATGACAACTTTTTTATAAAAAATTAACTTTTTCAACTTAAATTTTGAAAATGTTCCGGAAAGACTGACACTTTTATATATATATCATAAATTAAAGATAATGTAATATATTTTATTATGAAAAAAAAAAAAATTTGACCTCTGGACTTGTCTTCGTGATGAAAATGGCTACCAAATGCTATTATTGTGTGAAAATTCTCGATTTTATTTTTTACATTTTTAACTTTATAATGCTATGACATATTGAAAAGTGTATGGTTCAACACAATTTTTTTATGAGAAATAATATTTTTTAATAATACCTTTTTTATTCAGGATATTAATAAGAAAATAGCAAAGCATGTAGCTTTTGGAATAATCCACCAATTTTTTAAAATTAAACACTATCTAAAGATTTGCATCGAAGCGTTTTTTTTTTTGATAGTGATTTTAATATCATTATACTTGATCTATCTATGCCACGTCACCACTGTGCCGTGACCCCCCTGTGCTGGGTTTTTTATTAATTAAAATGAATATCAATGTTTTAAATTGATTATTACTTTGTTTGTAAAAAAAAATAAAGTAGCATGATGAAATAATTGTTGTTTTATCTGAAATTGAGTAATTTTTATTATATATCAAATTATTGTTTATAAAATATGAGTACTTGCTTTCACTCAGAGTCATGTAAAGAAGTAAAAGGTAACGGGAGCAAACCCTCTAGAGTACCAAAACGTATGAATACATTTCTTTTACATAAAAAGTATTTTGTTTAAAAATGTATAAAATAGAAACGTCAAATTTATTATGATTGCTTTATAGCACTAATGACAGTTAGCACAGCATTGCTCTGACAGACAGATTTTTTCTAAGTATTGTCATCGATATTTGCAAACCAATAAAATTTAGAAATATGGCAAGTTTACTTTGAGTCGTTCATTTACAAAAGTATCTGTATTCAATTTTTTTTACTTACCTTATTATTAAACTTAAAATTAGTAATTGACACAAAATAAATAATAATTTTTAACATATGTTTTTTTTCCACAACTAAATGACTCAATTATAATATAAGCTTTTTTCGGATAATAAAATTTTTAATCTTGAACATTTTCAAAATTATTTTAAAAAACCTCACGTTAGATTATCTTTTAAAGTCGTATTAGCAACATAACCGTGGCCTTACAGTAGTTAAAAAAATGTATATCTGTTCTGATAATAGAAATTTTATATCTTTCAGATTATATTTTCTATTAAGTATATCATCTAAAAGGCAATAAAGTTTGCAGTCATTTTTTAAATAACCGTTTACGTCAATATTGTGTCCATAAAAAAAAATGAACATTAATAAAGTAATACTGGCTTGTTGATTCAAGAAATGGTATAGAATTTTGCAGAATTTCTTTATACTGAAACCTATGATATTTTTCAGGTTTTATTTTTTTGGCGATATACATTTTTAAAATGCAAATAATTATCGGATAAAAAAATTATGTAAATTTTTTTGTTATTATAAAATCAAAACAAATATAGAGATTCCCATTTAAGAAAATTAAAGTTAAATTTTTACATTATTCCTAGCACGACTAAATTTTTGTATACTAATTCAAAAATAAGTATTTGTACTCTTGGTCTATAAAGAAGTGGCTAGTAGAAAAACTACCTTAAAAAAAAATACAGTTAAAATCAGTATAGTGAACTTTAGTATACATTGATCAGTAATTAACATCACTATCATAAAATGCATAAAACTAAAAATTTATAATAACAAATTATTTATACAATTATGGCTAGGGGTGATACTTTATTTTTTTAGATGGGAAGTGTTGTACGATAATTTGCTAACTTATTGATCATTGTAAACATGTATAGAGGGAAAAAAGGTCAAAACGTTACGAATTATACCTATAGCTATAACTCTTATGTAAATTTTTGACTGGGATTAAAATTAATAAAATCGCTGATTATATTAATTCAAATATTTATTGCGGGAGTATGTTCCACCCTCATACATCCAAAGATCTGGCCCATCTTTAATATGATATAAAAAAGTTCAATATTTAATTTTAACAAAGAAATAAAAGTAAAATTATTAACTAAGTAGAAATTTTATTATAAATAAAAGTATTCATGTGTAACAATCAATTCTTAAAACTTAAAGTTTCTTACACCTAGTTGTCTAAATTTTAAGATAAACTATACATATATTTTTGTTTACAATATTTATGCTCATACTAAACAAATTACCGCATTTATTATTATTTTTTATCTGGGCTTGATATAGTGTTAAGTATTACAGATACAACTGTGTAGGAAGTATTTATTACCTAAAAAAACATCATTATTACAAAAATAAATTATTATTTTATTTTTGATAATTTTGTTGGCATATACCAATTAAAAAAATGTCACTTATACATTATAATTATTTATTATACAACTTTTAGTAATTTGTTGAAGAATTATTTTTCTTTTTTATTAGTCTTCACCAAAAAGTAATACAGCACGACATTTAATTATAATAAATTAAAAATATAGCTTTGTAAAGTAGTGATATTATTAAGTATAGGTGATTTGTTTATAAAATGAGGAAGACAACTTAAAAAAAAATAATGGTTAATTTTGCATTTTATTTTTAATGTTTTTATATAACCATAGGGCCAGATTTGCGAGGGGGTAAATTAAACATTGGTCCCCACAAAAAAAAGGGTCTCTAAATGTATGCTAATACTTTTTTTGCTCATTTTTCATAAAAATAGTGAATAGTCACTAATATAAAGAAGGAGTTGAAAATTTAGCTTTTTTATTTAACTTAAGCTAAGGCTTACGATTCCGATAAATTCGCCTTTATTTAGGTTTATTTGTTTTACGTTAATTTATTTAATAAAATAGAGTATTTGGTATTCACTTTATAATTAATAACTTACGCTTAAAAATAGCTGAACGCTAATTATTTTTTTAGGTGAAAGTTTTAAGTTAATCTGATTAGCGTTGTTTTGTTTTTGAGTTAATAACATCCATTTTTTAAAATTTAAGTTCATATTTGTCCAATTGCATTTAAACAAATTTAAGTTGAATTCTTCTTTCTTGAAAACAGATTATATTAAACTTTATAACTAAAAAACTAACTAATTTACTGATAAAATTTACCTTTTCTGTTACAAGTTCCAATAAATAACATTCCATAAAAAATTCAATTGCTATAGCTATAAATGAGATAACCAATTTGAGATCAACTATTTTTGTATTGTTATTAGATAATCGCTGTAAAATTTAATTTTTATTATTGAAATATTTTTTTTTGAATAACGTATTATTAATTAAGTCTTATTACTGAATAAGTAAAATTAAAAATATTATTAATTTAAAAAACTAAAAATTGTATTATATCTTATTACTGACTTATGTAATTCTTGCCTATTTACAATTTTAAGTTAATAATAAATAAAAATAATTGTTTTATTTAGTTTTTATAAATGGACATATTTTAGTCGGTATAGAAATAGAGGGGGCTCATCAAATATTTTTTTGGCAAGTAGATATTAAGTGTGAGTTAAGATATAATTTTGTACAAAAGTAGTATCGAGAAAAATGTGTTTTGTATACTTATCCTTAAAAAAAAACCTATTCAAGCTATTGTTCATACATTTTTTGGTAACATTAACTAAATTATATTTTATTTAAAGAATAAAATTTGAATCTACCAGTACAAGTAAGTATGCTAAGCTCACAAGTCCAATGGAAAAATCAGCTATTTGAATTAAAATAACTCGACGTATAACCCCGAAAAAATCCATCAATTTCCTATTGTATATAAAATAATTATAAATAATTATTTGAAGTTTGCAAATACATTTTTGTCAGATATTTTATTACGTATTAACTTTTTGGTAGTTAATTATAATATTTTTTAAATCTTCGCAATATTTTATTTGACTATCTTCTTTGTTTGCTGAAAATAAAAATAAAAGAATGTTTTACATTTGTATAAAAGTTTAATTTATTGATTTAAAGCTTATTATGTATGAAGAAAAAAAATTTTATTCTATGGAGAGTTCGGATTTCAGCATTATATTTAAAAATCTTACTTCACAGAAACTTATCATTTTCCTTCATTTTATAAAATGTTTTTTGGGTTGATATATTATTAGGATTATTTTTAGAGGTGCAATAACTACATAATATGTAATTAGCGTACTTTCGAACTCATTGCCGAGTACATATTTGGATCGATAGTTACTATTTTGAGGTTGTGATTACATTGAGTTACTGAATGAGTAAAAATAACTACATAAAACTCTAGCCACAAAGATTTTTCTTATTTATACATTTTTCCAATCAGCCTCTTTAATAATTTGTTTATATATTATTATATTTATATACTTACCACTAGTGAGATCGTATGTAGTACCCAATTTTTTAACACTTTTCATAATAGTTTCATACTGTGCAGTTATAGCAAAACAAAATGATGCTATAAAAATATCAAACATCAGAATCGCATACATAATGAAAGTCAACAGACTGAATTCCAATAAGTAAAATATATAAAAATATTTTTCAAAAGTTTTAGAGGAAACTGGATACATTAAATTAAGAATACTTGATTCATTCAGATTTCGACCAAAAACTAATGGAAAAATACTCCAAACACAAATGATTAGAATGAAAAACACAAGACAGAGCCAAGTAAATGTTTTACTTAAACCAATATAATTATTCATTATTTTTTTGGCCCGTTGCACATATGAATTAGGCAAAAAATTCACACAAGCGATATCATAAAACTTCCATATGAAGTTGGAATTATTTATCAGTGTATATAATTTGTAGAGACAAAACGGATAATTACAGTAATAGAATAACAATTCAAAAAGTTGATCATATGTAATTAGTTTTCCGTAAAAAACTGCATAAATTATGCCTGTTAAACTGTAGAGTACAATTATTGCGTTCAGAATGATAAATGTCATATGTGCTAATAGGTAAATCTTAAATCCAAAAACCCTTTTAGTTCTCGGATTCAATAACTGATAAAATCCGTAGAGTCTAAATAGTTCCATATTTATTATAACTTTTCTTCCTTGATGTAAATTGTAAGGATTTTCCATTATTAATTGGTCATTTGGCATGATTTTACCTGTAAAATTTATGTTATAAATTAAATTAATTAAAATTATAACTACATATTTTATCTAACTTATAATATTAAGTTTAAATGATATAATTTCAGTGCTATTACATTACTGATACATTATTAAAATATTATTATAAATAAAAAATGTCTAATATTAAGGACTGTAATTATTAATTTCTATAAAAGCCAAACATAGAAATCATAAAAAAAAAATGTACAAATTTCTTATCAACTTTTGTTTTTTTGACTATAAACTTTATATATTCACTAGTCAAAATAAATTTAGTAGAAACAATAATTTCTAATAATTAATTTATAAATTAAAATTAATTTATAGTTTTACACTTAAAAAAGTCTCATTAACAGTTTATGATCAATCGGACAGTCATTCGATCAAGAATAATAAAATAACACTTCTATACCTCTAATAATATTTTAATTATTATTTAAAACAATAATTATTTTAACTTTATAGATTGATTAAAATTATATTTTGTTAAATATATTTGACTGTTTAACGAGTAACTGAAGTAATGACTTTACAAATCCTTTAGTATTGTTAAAATTTCACCTATATTTTTAAGTTAATATTTAATCTGTCTGGAGCTCCAAGTTAAGTAGTTTATTTGTTTTATATTTTTTTAGAAAACCCGCTAATGTAAATAAGTGTAATATAGTGAAACTTTTTGTTTGTATATAAAATAAGAATTGGAGGGTATTCTATTTATTAAAACATACGTGAAATGTTTTTTGTATTTCAAACCTACAAGAAGGTGGTTTATTATTAATAAGTTCATATTTTTTCAATTTTCTTTCATAGAACAATATTTTTTTTATTTTAAAAAATTTATGAATAAATTATAAGTATATTTTATATTGAAATATTTGATAACCACATACAAATAAAAATATATATAAATAATTGTATATTTTGGTTTAAAACAAATAATACATTTTTACAATACCAAAAAAAATTAATATTAGTTTATTAAAAAAATTCGTTTGGTTAAATAAGAGTGTTACCAAAATAATGTTTATCTTCAATGCAATTGAAAAATTACTTTTTCATTTTTAAGTTAACCTTTTTTTAAAGTTTTTTTTATGTGTTTAACACACTGTTTTAAATTTATCTCATAATATAGGGAAGTATTTTGGATATATCATGAATGTATATGTTCAAATTGAATAATGAAATAAGAATATTAAAATATTGTCAAGGCGAATAATTCAAAGGTTAATAAAATGTTAATGATATCTTATGAGATTTTCTCAGAAAAGCACTGTCGTAACACAATAAAATGAAATGAAACAAGTGTAAAAAGTAATTGTGATGTGTACGAAGATGAATATGAGGATGTGGTGCCTGCTGTCGAGGTATTCACGTGCGTGTGGTCGTACAGCAGTCACCGTGCTCGGCTGACACTTCGGGTTAGCTGTGGGTGTCGAAAGGCTGTTGTTATAGGAAGGGAATAAGGGTAACACCTAGGTATGAGGTGCAGACGAAGTGCAAGACACAAATACCAGGTGTACCCAAAAGAAGCCCAAACTAAAAATTTGTATTTATTTATAATAAGTTAAAGAAACTATTAAAAATAATTTAAATGATTCACTTTACCCAAATCCAAGGTAAAGTGAATATTTTTAACTGATCAATTTGTTTCAATAAAATTTATCTTATATGGCTATTTTGTTCTAAATAGTTTCTATTTACTTTACTTATTCTGTATAATTTACTTTTTCTTAATTATAACAAGTATTAAGTTTAAATTTAAAGGTATAATACCTACCTTTTAACTGTTTAAAACACATAATGAAATGAATATTTCTTAAAAATTATGTAAAATTGATTCCTTTGAATGACTAAAAAGTTATACCATAAAGGTATTATAGGTTTATGTACTGGTAGGGGGAAACTTGTGAGGAGTCAATTAGTAAATTTATCTTCTAGGTTTAATGTATTATTGGACATGTGACAAGGGTCAGTCGGATATGAATTGTACTATTAAGTGAAAAATATTTTTTTCTATTACTATAGCAATTTATACACATACCTATTATACATATTTTTTTTCAAAATCATAATTTGCAAAAGTAAAAAATTAATTTGATGACATTGTAAAATAATTCAAAATGAATGGAATTAAACCTAATGGTGATACTGAGGCTATTGAAGTAAAACAAAGCTGCTATATAAAGGGTTTAAGGTTCATAGCTTTTTAATTATTTATGGATATTTAGTATAGTATTGGTTCATGGAGAATAGTACTTCTATCAGATTTACCAGAATTAGAAGAAATGGTTAATAACGTTTCCCGCAAAGTCTTTGGTCCATTTGATATCACATTAATGATGTAAGTAAATTTTAAAAAAAGTCATCTATAAATTTTAGGAGATATTTTTTCAGAGAAATTAATGTATTGTCATTGTGTCAACTGAATTATAATAAAGAAATTTCGAGTTTTGTATCACTTTCAAATAAACCAAATATTGCTTGCATTCCTACAGAACACTGGACCGAGTGGCTCCAACACCTTTATAAGTATACTATTTTATATATATTGTAATACTTATATTTTATTGTACTAAAAGAAATTTACTAAAATCATAGTTTTAAAAACGTCACTCAAAATAACACATTGTTTATCCATCTTTTGCTATTCCAAAATTTTGAGTACATGGCATATTTTTCTTTATTACTTCAGACAGTATACTCTCAACTTCCAGAAATTTCATATATTTTTCTGGTAAAGCCACCAAATACAGAGTTATGTAAGTAAAATGTTGCATTAGTTATGTAATAAAAACTACCTAATAGAGTGGGGATCGGCATAGATGTAGACTTTGGTATAGATTTATATCTAACAGTGATTAACATCACTATCATAAAATACTTTGTCACGATTGTACGTAAATTAAAAAACAAAAAAATAAAAATTGAATAATTTTAGAGAAAATAATACAAATTATCATTAAACAAAAAATTATTTCTAGTATAACAATCGACAAAACGTTTTTAAAATAGAATATTTAAATATATAAGTTTAAAAAATGCAAATGTTAAGGAACATTTAAAAAGTTTAAATAAAAAAAAAGGTTTGATACGTCTTATTTAAACCCAACCTGTTCTGAATTTTTTTAGGATTTTATAAATAGGCACTTAGAAAAAGGTTACCTATAGTATATCCTGTTAAAATCCCATAAAGATCCGGTTTTTTTTTTAATAATTGCAATTTTAAAATTTGATTTTTCTAATTTTCGACGACTCTAATTTTGAAATATTTCATAAATATCTAATATAAAGGGCTTTTTAAATTGCTGATAGAGATATCTTCATAAAATTTTTTGTTCAATTTTCATAAAACTTGTAATCAGGATAAAATTAAGGAAGGTGAAGTTACTTTTGGAATAATTCAATAACACATTCTAAAAACTAAAAACTAAATACTATATACAGATTTTCATTAAAGCGTTTTTTTAAGATAGTGATTTAAATCACCGTCAGATATCATAAGTACTTGTCCCTATATTTCGCGTGCTCTTTGAGCCGTGACTCCATTGTCTGCCGTTTTTATAAGCAGTTAGATAAGATCAAAGAAGATAAATTTTCTAATGTAAAATATAAATACTATATTAAGTCTTTAAAAACCACCAATTATTAGACAAATCAACGAAATATATACAACTCATCTACTTGAACAAAATACTTTCTTGATTATTTCCTGAGAACACTTTTTCAAATTCTTATCTAATCTAAAAACATTATTAATATATATAAATAATGTACTTTGTAAAGTCTTCCCACACTCTAAGATTTTAAAGGATGTATTTATTATAAATACCAATGTTTTAAAGTAACAATTAATTTTATAAGTTTAAGCATTCGTTATTTTTCTAATGTATAACATGTTTAGAAATTCCTTGCAAAAAAAAAAAAAATTTATAACACAAAATATGAGTCAATAAAATTTTATGATATTAATTTACATTCACTTGAATTGAATAATAAATTTTATTAAATAAACAAAAAAATATATATGTATTTCGATTTGACATAAATTATTCCTAAAGATATTAGAAAAAGTATGCAAGTGATATACAACAAAAAAAAAATTTTTTTCATAAAATTTTTTATTTAATCAGTTTTTTTCTAAAAGTTTTGTATAATATTTCTATTTGCCTTAAAATTAAAAGGTTTTTTATAATTTAATTATTAATTTTCAACAGTGGATTTTTTTAAAATTTTAAATAACTATCAACTTATTAAAGTGTATGAACTTAAGTTTGATATTTAATGAATACAAACAATATTAATTAAATTATTAGTAAATAAAATTTATTTTAAAGGTGCAGAATTGTGTTTGCCATTTCATACTTTACGTGGAAAAATTAGCAATTTGGAATCTGAGAATCCAGAAATTTTGTACCATTCTAAAGATTTTATTATAAAAAAAACGCATTTACGCCTTGCTGAGTAAGTTTTGTTTAGTCAGGATCCTGACTAAAATATTAAAAATATCCTCTTGAATTACGGGGCCGACCTTCACTGACTCATTAAATGATATTCTTTTTGTATTTTTCGCTGACGCATCAAAAATTACGCGTAGTTTGGCAGTGGTAGTGTGCCTTTAATCGAGTATCCCATACATCGACTCATATTCCTTTGTAAAAAGTGTATAGGTCACTTATGTCTCAGTACAATTACTTATTTGCAAGTTGAATTTGTAAAGGATTTGGAATTGATACTTATGGCACATGCGTCATTGGTATAAAATCTTTCACATCCTTCAGTAGTACAAATGATGTACACTTTAAGTCGAAGTTTTAGCCTAAATTTAACAATACATGCAACTTAAGACCCATTCGACGAATTACCAATTCAGAAGATAATGTGATTAGTTTTTTCTTGGAAGAATTGTTGTTTGTTTGTCAATTGGTTTTCAATGAAGTTGGGCATCGAACCAAAATCCTGCAGTACTATGGTCATACAGAACTTAACGGTAACTTAACTTAATGACATATTTTACACTTATACGCCAAAGATTGCCCTTACAAATCGGACACTATGATAGTTTTGTCGTCGTCAGTAAGACCACTGTTGACTCTTGATTGCCGGTTGTGCTTCACTGTTAGCTACAACAATTGTCTTTGACCATTGATGTCTTATCTTTGACTATTTTGTTTTGTTCCGTATTGGACTTAATATGATCAGCCGCTTCAACAGATTCAAAAATAAAACGCCTTTTGTAGAGAAAATCTTTAAGCTCACTTACTGTCGATGACTTATCATCAAAATCACGTAGATTACCGATTGCCGTGAATCACTGAGAGAAATATGCCCTTAAAAGTTAACCATTCATCATAACGTCCATTAAAAGTTGGCAGTGGTATAATGGGCATTTTATTTATCTATAGCGTGCAGTTTTTGAACTAGAACTCTGACATTAATTTGTTGAAATAGTTTTAGTAAAATTGGTCATTTGTGCAAATATAACTGACAATTATTCGAAAACCTAATCATCGACATTATACTTTATGATAAACTGCTAGTTGTTTTCAGCAATATCTTCAATCTTGTTTTGAATTAATTTAAATCCCAATTTAAGTCCTCATTAAATAATTTACTTAATCTAACTCCATTACTTAATCACTTATTTTTTGTTACGTGAATTATGCCTATCACAGCTTCAAGTAGGTGTCTTCATGTAGTTATAGCTTTTATTTAGAATTGCTATAAATATTAATCGTAATGACATTCAATCAATACTATTGTGTTATTTATACATATGTCTTTACAAACAAATTTATTATATACAATAAAAAAAAACTTACTTATTTGTTAATATAAAAACAAACAGTGACTTTATTTTAAACTTAATAATAATAACTTTTTCCTTGGTTTCAGCCATTCAAGACCATACCTTTATATAAACATACTGTTATCTATCTCTATTTTCTGCTAACTCCCACCAATGACTTTCTGGCTCCACTGTTTCTGTATCCCTTTTAATGCAATCCTCCCATCTTAAACACGGTCTTCTAAGAGGTTTCTTTCCTACTGGGTTTTCCTCTATTACTTTTCTTAAAAGTGAATCATGCTTCCTCTAGGCATGATCTACCCAACCCAGTTGTCTTTTTTTAATTTCTTTCAGTATATTAGGTCACTGAAAAAAGAATTACAGTTCATCGTTGTGTAGTTTCCTTCATTCATTTGTGAGAACATTAAAGTATGCTCCATAAATTTTTCTAAATACTTTCCTCTGAAACACTGCCATTCTTTGTTCCTCAGCTTGAAAGGTTACAAATATTATAAAAAAAATCGAATTAATTGGCCGTAAAGAAAAATTTGTAACTTTCATGGCGCGTTGAAAAATTAAAAAGAAAAAGGTCGCCAACCCACTGGGCGAGACAAAGTATTGTCGGACCACAGTAGGATTTTAAAAAGAAAATAAATTTTGTACATTAAAAACAATTTTAAAATAAATAGAAAAATATTAAAAATTGAAGTCGATATCCGTTGAGTCGTTGATAGTAGATGTACACCAAAATCTCGTGACAGTTGTCACATAACCATAATAATAAAAATACTAGTTAAACCTACACTTTTACAATTAGATAATACGATGAACGTAGTCGGGTACCCACCAGCTATTAATCGAGGCATTACCACTAAGCACGGTGGGTATACGCCCCAAGTAAGCGACTGGTTTTAGGCAGTTAGACTTAGCTTGCAAGACGTTGGGACACCCCGGAATAAAATGCACTACGTCACCACATTGTACTTATGATATATATGCATCACCCAATATAATTTCATACAAAACCTATATAAAAAAAAAATCACAAAAAATGTATAGACATAACATGACAGGTGGTTTTGTCACACGCCTGCCATGTTGTGGGACCTAAATAAAAAAAATAGGGGCACCTAAAAATGTACTCTGATTTTTCTTCATTAATCCTAAGTCCTACTTTCTCAGCAGCCCTTATAAGTGATTTCCCATTTTTATTACTATCTCTCTGTTCCTTCCCAATAGAGCAATATCATCCACACACGTCAAAATATTAATTATTAATACTAATTCAATCCCTTCACAAAAATTGATTTCTCTTACTATCTTCAACAGCACTAAGTTAAATAGTATCGGAGAAAGCGCATCCCTTTGTCTTAAGCCTGGCAGTACTTCTACTGGTTGTGACAACATATTTGCTATCTTCACTTTAATCTTTGTTTCATATATATTTGCCTTTACAAGATTAACTAGCTTTTGTTTTTCATTTCTGAATACTTAACTTGCGCTTTTCTGACACTATATGCAATTTTTTTTTCTCTATTATGTTGGTCATTAAGCTATTGGTTTCTAGTTTCTTTTCTCCAATTTAAAGTATCTTCACGTACGTCGATTCTTACAGCTTATACTTTTCCGATTTCTGACTTTTTCACTATCTTTATAGTATGTTTAATTTTCTTTCATTTTGCATCAATTGAGTCATTTATACCTGTAACTATCCTTCTGATTTTTTCCAACACCTGATACTTGTATTTTACACAAGTATTAATATTGTTTAGTTTAGCTGTGTCATATTTGTCTACAATTATTCTATTTTTGTGTGTAACCTTTTTTATTTTGACTTTCATTTTTTCTTTAACCAGATAGTGATCCGAATCACCATCGCCTCCTCTCATCGTTTTTATGTCTTGAATACAGTTTTTGAATCTTGTGCTCACTAGAATGTGGTCGATTTGGTTGATTTGCCTTCCGTCTAGTGACATCCATGTTTCCTTATAAGTATTTTTATGAGGAAACATTGTACTTTTCAATACAAGACTATTTCCACATACGAAATTGATAAATCTTTATCTATTATCATTTATAATCTTGTACAGGCTATAGCTTTCAATTATTGATCTGAATACAGCCTCTTTACCAACACTTGCGTTTGGGACATCTAAAACTATTTTTATATAATGTTTTAATAATAATAACAAGAAACAAAAAGGAAAAAACACATGTTCTTCTCATTTGATTTTATTCTTTTGATTAAGGGTAGTTGGAAGTGGAGGCAACCTTTATGTACTGCTCTGCCTGGCTAGTAGCGTTGATTCCCTACAGCTACCCGCTAGTTCATTGGTTGTCCGGTCCAGGATTCCTGCCTCTATGTTCGCCGACAGTGTAGATATTATATTAAAAAGTAGAACAATAAATATCATTAATTATAAATAGACAATTTGTTAACTGTAGAGAAAGTGACAATGATGACCTCAGGCAAAATTTAGGAAAAAAATTACATTTCATGGATAAATATTATGGTGAATACTGTTTAGCAGAATTATTTGGATACCCAGGAAATAATCGAGTCAACTTAGTACCAATTGTAAGAAAAATTATGTCAAAACTAACGTACTAAACTAAAACTAATCCTAAGTAAACTAGACCTTTGCTTTAGACTGGGCTAAAAAAAAAATTGGGTTTAGTTTTTATTGAATTTTTCTTTAATTATATTCTAGTAAAACTAGGTAAACCTGGTCTAATAAATGAAGAAGAATATTAAAAGGAAAAATTAAATAAGCCTACTAAAATTTTTCTTCTACTTAGTTACCTCGCCATTTCAAAACTAGAAAGTTATAATATATCTACACTGAAAAAAATCCCTTGGTAAGATCAACAAATGCATTATCAAAATACCCCCAAAAACTTTGTTAAATGAATCATAGTTTATTGTTAATTTGACCATTAATTTTGTTAGAATAACGAAACATTTATCAAATTAAAAATTGTTTTATTAATTAACAAATAATTATTCAACTAGTAAAAAAAAGGACAAACTTAAACAATTTAATTCATAATAATATGAAGTATGCAATTTACGAATATAGTTTTTTTTTTCGAACATAGCATTAAACTTTTTATCAAAATTATTCTTTTGGTGATATTTACAAATATGAAAAAAACCCAGCACAGTGGGGTCGTGGCATAGTTGGGTCCAGTATAGATGATATCTGACAGTGATTAAAATCACTATCATAAAAAACGCTTCGATGCAAATCTGTAGACAGTGTTTAATTAAAAAAAAAAAAAATTTGTTAAAATAGCATATTTTTGAATATGGTAGCCATTTGCGCATAGAAGATAGGTCGTCGGGACAAATTTTTTTTTTTATTTTATAGTACACAAAATAAGTTTTAATTTGATACATGTTTAAAGGGCGCAGTATTTCCGGAACATTTTCAAAAATTAAGTTGAAAAAGTTATTTTTTTAAAAAAGTTACTATTTTAAATCCCCCCAGTGAGCAGAATAAGTGTTAGATTTTCAAAAAAAATTATATCAAATGAAAGGGAAATATCTAAGGTTTCAATACAAAAAAATATTATTTTTATTTGTTCATTTTTGAAAAAGTTATGGCAGTTTTAAGTACAAAAAACATCCCGATAAAAGGTAATTTTTATCGCAAACATTACATTTTTTTTTAAATTTCGACAGCCATTTGCACATAGTAGATAGGTCGTCGGGACAAATTTTTTTTTTCATTTTATAGTACATAAAATAAGCTTTAATTTGATATATGTTTAAAGGACGCAATATTTCCGGAACATTTTCAAAAGTTCAGTTGAAAAAGATCTATGTTTTTTACAATATTTCAAGTTTTGAACGTTCCCTATATAAGAGGAAATTGTCCAATTTTAATAAAAAGTATGTCAAATGAAAGATGTACTTATAATGTATTTAGAAAAAAAAAATTTGTGCTGATATATACATTTTTCAAAAAGTTATAGCATTTTTAAGTTGAAAATTTAAAATCGAAAATTTTAACAAAAAATAGTAGTTTTTTAACTACGGCAACAGTTTAAATGTAGAAGATAAAGTGTCGGGACAAATTTTTTTTTCCATTTTATAGTACACAAAATAAGTTTTAATTTGATATATGTTTAAAGGACGCAGTATTTCCGGAACATTTTCAAAAATTAAGTTGAAAAAGGTAGTTTTTGTAAAAAAGTTGCTATTTTAAATCTCCCCCAATGAGCAGGTTAAGTGTTAGATTTTCAAAAAAATGATATCAAATGAAAGGGAAATATCTAAGGTTTTAGTATAAAAAAAAATTATGTTGATTTGTTGATTTTTCAAAAAGTTATGGAAGTTTTAAGAAAAAAAAGTGAAAAAATTTCAAAAATTAGCGATTTTTAAATTTGTAATTTTTTTGGATATTTCCCCCATTTGCGGGGAACGAGGGAATTTTTTTCNGCATATTTCCCCCATTTGCGGGGAACGAGGGAATTTTTTTTAATTTTTAAGGGTAATGTCTCCAACTAGATACGATTTGTGATCTTTTGACGTATTTTTGAAAGAAATCAGTCCAGTGAGAGCTGAGAAAAAGTGGCAACAGACACAAAAAAAAAATAAATAAATAAAAAAAACACATCATAGTAAAATACCTTCTCAGCTTCACATCGAAGCTAAAAGTTCAATTCAATGGGGATCCATCTAAATGGAGTTGAGAAATTTGATTAGTCTATTATTGATTAATTTAAATAACTGTTGTAAAACGCTTCAATGTGTATTATACATAACAAAATAAAAATTGTCGTATTTATTAAGTTTATACAGTAGGGACGTAGCATAGTTGGGTCCAGTATAAATAATATCTGATAGTGATTAAAATCACTATCATAAAAAACACTTTGATGCAAATCTGTAGATAACGTTTACTTTTAAAAAAATAATGGATTATTCCAAAAGCTACATGAACTCATATTTTATTATTTATATTCTGATTACAAGTTTTATGATTGATTTATAAGTGTAATATATGAATAAATAAATATATATAAATATTAATAATTTATAAATATAAATAGTACTTATCTTAAAAAAATATATAATGATCCATACATTTTTCAAAAAGTTATAGCATTATATAGTTTAAAATATAAAAAAGAATTTTTTTTATTAACTTTGATGTCTGTTTTTTTGTTAATTTTTTTTTTTTAATATTTAAGTATATTACATAAGTTTCAATATATATATATAAGTGTCAGTATTTCCGAAACATTTAAAAAAAATAAGTTGATAAAGTTCTACTTTCTTTATGCGTTTGTTAGTTTTGAACCCCCCCTGTATAAAGATAAATGGTCCGACTTAAAAAAAAATTTGAAAGAAATTGGTTTGGTGAGAGCTGATAAAAGGTGGTAACAGACACAAAAAAAACGTCATAGTATAAATAATACCTTCTCAGCTTTGCATCAAAGCTAAAATAAAAATGTTTAAATAACATTACTAGTAAAAATATTATATTCAAAAATTATACATATCAATGATCTTGTTAAAATAATTAATATTTTTGGTCATATAAAAGAATTTAGATACTTTTAAGAATTTAGACCAGTTACAAAAGTTTCACAAAGAATTTTTTTTTTAATTTGACTTTTTCCTATCTAGTTGTAAGCTAACTCGTTCAGGAAAAGCCTAATTACAAAAAAAATTAAGACCCGTTCTTTTGCAACTTATATACAAAGATTATACGCCTAAACTAATAATTATTGCAATATATTTAATTTATTTCTAATATTGAATCACCTTTTTGATTTTGGTGAATTTATATTTAATTAATGGTAAAGTTTTGTGCAAATAACGCTCTAAAGCGCATGGCCTCATATAGAGGGACACACTTTTCATACACCATACCTCTTGCCACTAAAGAAATATAATTTTCCAATTGGCAATTACAAGCTTAAAAAAATATTTATTTTAAGAATTCTCAAGACTTTTATTAAGAAAACCAATTTAATTCAAACCTCTTGTGAAACTGGGTCCTTAATTATTATTGTTATATTTATAACAATGAAAACTAGCATCTTAAACTAGTTATTTTCTAAAATAAAAATTACTTTTGTCAATAATTCATTACTTTTATATTGACAGCATGACGTCAATGGATTTGTAACTATTAATACAAATTTGAACTATGCGCTCATAGAAAATATATTCGATTTAAGTAATTTTCCTGGTCTTCTAGTACCAATTAGATCTGATTTAATTCAATATGAAGAAACTGTCAATGAATCTGGTGATTTTAGTTATGACAATGACAAAAATTATCGCAATCAAACTGATGCTATTATTTTGTTAAATGCTCAAGAGTTATTATTTTTTCTTTAATTTATTTATTTTAGAGAAAAATAATTATAAAATACCACAATTAGTAACTGTTATTTAATTGTTTTATAGTGATTTTAAAACAAAAATATCAAATAAATTTTCATTTCAAAAGGATTTCTCATTATATACAAAAAAATTCCAAGACCACAGTTTAAATCAACGTGAAATTTACAAAAACAAAAAATCAACAAAAAAAGAAAATATTTCCGATTGTGAAAATATTTTTTACAAAAGACTCGAGAGTAAAATTTTGGATATTATTTAATTAACTAATATTAAACTTACAAAGGTTAATTTTTTTTAATGCATTAAATAGTTAAAAATCACTTAATTAGTTTTTAATATATATTTTAGTTTAGTTGTTTTTCTTAATTGGATGTCATATAAAATATTATTTTAATATTAGATATTCCTAATTTTTTTTGGAAATACCAAGATAAAGAATTAAACATCAACCAAAATTCTTCTAGTAGACATATAGAATCGTCATCTTTAATAAATTTTACAAAAGAGACTTCGTTCAAAAATACTTCGTTCATCATTGAGCTAATACTTATAAATGAAGACACTGAAAATATGTATTTACACCATTATCTTCATATGTGTAAGAAAGTATTCATATTTATATTTTATAGGTGTATAAGAGATTATTTAGTTTCGTGTTTTGATCATTTTTCTCAGTATGAATATTGTGTAATAGCAATCCCAACAATTGCAAAATCTTCTGGATTAAAAAAATACTTCGTCGTAAGTTTATTGCTAGTGATCATAAGCCTTCGTTTTAATCAAATATTTTGTGATTTCTAACTATGTAAATCTTCTTCTTCCTCGCCTTAATCCCAACTAATTGGATTCGGCCACCCTTATCCTAAACTTTCACTTGACACATACGATCTCCCACATCACTTACTCTCACATTAGCTGTCCTCAAATCGCATTCAATAGCATTCCTCCATTTCTTTTTTGGTTTTCCTCTACCTCTTCTTCCTTCAACATTAATTTTTATAACTGTTCTTACAGCTTCCGATTCTTCTCTCCTCATAACATGACTTAACTAAGTCTATTTTCTCTCATCTTATCCACGAATGACGCTGCACCTATACTCCCTCTTATATGCTCATTCCTTATTCTATCTAACTGATCCTAAACACTTAAAATTCTCCAACTCTCCAATCACGTCCTCGCCTATTGTCACTGACCTATACTATATTATACTATACACCTATCTTATATGCTCGTTCCTTAGTCTATCTTTTTAGTCACTCCACTCATCCATCTAAGCATTCTAATCTCTGCTACACTCATTCTCTGCTCTACTTTCTTATCAACCGCCCAACACTCTGAACTTACGTCATAGCTGGCCTTATTACAGTCTTATAGAATTTACCTTTCAGCCCCATTAGAATTATTTTATCGCATAAGATACCAGACGCTTCTCTCCACTTCAACCACCCGCACTTAATCCTGTGTCTTGCATCCTCATCAAACCACCACTCTTTTGCACAACTGACCCTAAATACTTAAAACTGTCCACCTCTCTAATTACGTCTTCGCCTATTGTCACTGACCTCCTCATTTCACCTACCTTGTGTTCTCCTTTGTCAAATCTAACTATGTAAATGACATATATATTTTAGAAAGTTCCATTAAAACCAAACAATTATTTTTCCATGGACTTTTATGTATTACATCGTTGTTTTATGTATGGGTAAGATAACAAAAAAAATCGTTAGAATGCTTACTAATTTTTGAACAATTATATATTTATAAATGAAGAGAATTTAAATGTATACTTGCTAATGAAGACCATATAAGCACACTTAAAAGTTTAATAAATAATCACCCGAATAATTCGATTATTTTAAATAACTTCTACAAAGCCGTTTTTGATAAATATGAATTCAAAGCTTTTATATTTTATTGCAATGATGAGGCAATTGGCTATTGTATTATTCAGTATGTATTAAATTAAAATATATGAAAAACTTATAATCATTAAAGAGTGTTGTTCCTAAACATGGTATTTCTATTACTTAATTTTTCTAATGCAATAGCGCAATTAGCACGGTAATAGACTATTTGATACTTTAGGGTCTGTTGATGTCAAATTGCACCCTTGTACTAATAAATAAATTTCTTACACATTTTTCATTGATTAAATTGATAATTCTTTCAACGCTAATTAAATTTAAGAAAATTTACGAGTGTAAATCATTAGAAAGAGGAACATTTCTTGCATTATGAAATTACTCATATATTATTTTGACTATTTTAATTTATAATTTGATTCTATGTAATACCAAGTTTAGGAATAAAATTATTTAATTGTGTATTTTAAAATATAATTCAATACATTTAAGAAAATCCCTATTTTAGAATATGTGATGTAATGAATTATTTAAAAGTTAAATATGACGTAGCAAAATATATATATCCTGATCATGCTCGAAATCATATGGCGCTGATCTTAAATATCGGTTTGCAAACAATTTTTACAAAAAAAACCAGACATTTTTTAAGACAAATGATGGAAATGTCAGATTTAAACAGTTTATATTACAAAATTTACTCAAATAATAATTTAATGGAAATGGTAATCTTAATATAAACCTATTGTATAAAGTATGTTCATTATTGAGGAACGTACCTAGCCATTCAGTAACGCGTCTTACCTTAGAGCAAAGATTACGGTAATGATTTTGTTGCACTGGACTAGGTAGGTTTTTCAATATCTCTACATAAATAATAGCAAATATATAAATAATAAGAAAAAACATATTATACTTGCTTATTAAATAATATAAAATATTACAATTAGGGGAGACACATATTTATATATTTAATTAGGAGTGTATAGATTCCCTTACATTTTTTATTTGTTTAATGGCTTCATATTAGTTCAATGGTTAATTAATTGAATTTTTGTATTTCAGCATCAAATAACATACACGCCAATTATTAACGAACTTATCCCAATAAAACCACGATTACAATCTCATTGTTTAAATAATGTTCCAAAAGATAACGAAATATTTTCTCTATACCATATGAATTCTCAGTTAAGTACGGTTGAAAAAGTCTCCGTAGACGCTAAAATTGTTGTGGTTGGTGCTTCTGATGTGGCTTTATCGTTTTTAGAAAATCTAATTTTCAAGTAATCAATATAGTACTTTTAAAAATGATTTGTGTTATATTACTAACACCAACAAAATAATAAAAATAATAATAAAGAAGGTGAAATAAAGAATGGTGTAGAATGTTTAGGGAAATATAAATGATATGTGGAACAGGATTGCTGCTTGTTTAAAGAATTCCACAAAAGAGATTGTCGGTTAGAGTAGGAGGAGTAAAATTTTTTAGAAAAAAAATAGGTGATTGTTAAACGAGAAAGTTTAGTGGATTATAGTGAGTAAAAATGTCAATTTAAGGTAATAAAAAAAGAGATAAATTAGTAAAAAAAAGATGGAAATTAGAAATTTTGTGAAATATAGAAATGATAGGCTGTAAGAATGATAAAAAAGAAAATACAATTGGACTCGTGAAGTGTTAATGAAAAGTGTCAAAAATGTTAGAATGTCTAAATATATTCAGAAAACTGAAAGAATTTTTTAATTAAGTTTTAATGGAAGTGAGTAGAGTAGAGAGTAGAGTAAAAGTTTCATGGTACCTATATTTAAAGGCAAAGGAGACATACAGGACATACATTATAGAACCATAGAGCTTACGAAAATTTTATCAGTATATTATATATGTATGAAGATTTAAGAAAAGATAATAGATGAGAGAATAAGAAGTGAAACATGAGTAAACAAAGCCAATTTGGTTTTTTTGCCTATAATGTCAACTATGGAAATTGCTTTGTGAAAGACAACTAATAGAAAAATACAGAGAGAAAATGAAAAAGCTTTATATGGTGTTTACAGAAGTGTATGACAGAGTGCTGAGGGAGGTTTTAAAGTGGACATTAATGAGAAAAGGAGTCTTAAAAACGTTTTAAATATTTAGGATCATTTGTACAAAAGAATGGTTGTATTAACGAGGATGTAATACATAAGATTAGGTTCCGGTGGATTATGTTTTTTATAGGAATTACCTTATAAAATACCTTACCATATAACATATTTGGTGTTATTATAGTCTAATACCAACTATGCTGTATGGACCAGAGTTTTGGGTAATTGACAAGAAACTAGAGCAGAAATTGAGCGTAGCAGGGATGAGAATTCTTAGATAGATGAGGGGAGCGCGACGAAAAAAGATAGATTAAGAAATGAATAAGTTAGAGAAAACATAGGAGTAGTATCTATCGCTGATAAAATGAGAAAAAATAGTCTTAGGTTGTTTGGTCATACTATGAGTAGAGAGGAAATGATCTTTGAAGGATGAAAATCAAGAAAAAGACCGAAAAAGAAGTGGTTTATTGATTTGAGGGTAATACGGCTGATGTGCGCGTAGATAAAGAGTGAGATGGTGTCAAGTGGAAGTTTAGGATAAGGGTGGCATATCTCAAGTAGTTGGAATAAAGGCGAGAAAGAACAAAAACAAAAAAATTATATATATTACTCAGAGAAGTTTATACAGTATTTTTTTTAGAAGATATTAATTTGTACCTTTATATATTTTTTTAAAGTTCAGCGAATTATTTTTTAATTTTTGAAAACATAACACTTCTGTCAAATCATGGAATGCGATTCAAATATGAACTTAGAGATAATCAAAAATTATTTTTACCGAACATGTCGCACTACAGTTATGATTTAATGTTATCAATGGGATTAAATAATTGGGTGAATGTTGTAACTGGTAAAGCAACTGCAATAAATAGGTAATATTGTAAAACTAAAATTTATAAAAATATTTTAAATTAAAGATTATTTAACATTTATTTTTCAAATAATTATACTAACTTTAATTACTTTCTTCTTCTTCTTCCTCGCCTTAATCGCAACTACTTGGGTTCGGCCACCCTTATCCTAAACTTCCACTTGACACCATCTCCAACATCCTCTATGCTCACATCACCTGTTCTCATATCGTATTCAATAACATATCTTCATCTCTTTTTTGGTTTTCCTATACCTCTTCATTATCAACCGCCCAACACTCTGAACCGAACATCATGGCTGGCCTTATTACAGTCTTGCAGAATTTACCTTTCAGCCTCATTGGAATTGCCCTTGATTAATTTTCTCCTATTGACACTATAGCGTCAACAAACGAAATGCACCACGGCACCTCTCCTTGTATTTCTCTAGTAATTTCATCCATCACTATAGAGAATAAGTAAGGGCTTAAAGCAGAACCTTGGTGCACTCTTACTCTTACCCGAAAACCTTCTGATATTCCTCCTACGCTTTTTACCCTGGTACAAGTGCCATCATACATGTCTTCTATTATATTAATGTACCTTTTCGGGACTCCTTTTCTCATTAATGCCCACTTTAAAACCTCTCTCGGTACTCTGTCATACGCTTTCTCCGAATCTATAAATACCATACACAGCTTTATGTTTTTTTCCCTAAACTTTTCTATTAGTTGTCTCACACAAAATACTGGCTCCATTGTTGACTTACCAGGCATAAATCCAAACTGGTTTTTAGATACTGATGTCTCATTTTTATTCTCTTATCTATTACCTTTTCCCAAATTTTCATACTATGACTCATAAGCTTTATGCCTCTATAATTTCCAAACTCCTGTATGTCACCTTTACCTTTAATTATCGATACTACAATACTATTCTTCCATTCATTTGGAATTTTCCCTTCTAAAAAGATTTTATTATAAAATTCCTTCAACCACCTTATGGCAACACCACCTAATATTTTCCATACTTCTACTGGCACTTCATCTGGTCCTACTGCTTTATTCTTTTTCATTGATGCCATAGCCTCCCATACCTCTTTCTCACTAATTAAATCCACCAGTCCTTCATTCCACAAGATATTCTCTAATGTCTCTTTTGGGTACTCCTCATTCAATAATTTTTCAAAATATTCTTTCCACCTTTTTTTCACATCATCATCACTCAAGAGTGCCTTATTATCAACAATTATACACCTTATATAATGGTAATCTTTAGACCTTTTCTCTCTTATCTTTGCAAGTCTATAGATTTCTATCTCGCCATCCTTTGTTTCTAATCTATCATACAACTCATCATACCTCTTGAACTTCGCCTTACCTACTGCACACTTAGCTCCTTTACACAAGCGTTTATGTACCAATCTTCTCTCCTTTTGCTCTTTTGTCATACTTTGAATTGCTTTTTCTTACTTTCTATGATTTTTTGAACGTCCAATTCTCACCATTATGTTTCCTTGTTTCCTGGCATTCTACTCCTACTCTCATCAACAATCTTCTTTGCGATATTCCTAACACAGCTAGAAAATCTATTTCACACATCATTTATGTCTCCTTCGACATTCCACACTGTCCTCTCTTTTACCGTCTTGACAAACTCTTTCATTTTCCCAATTCAATTTCCAATAACGGGTTAGCGATTTTTCTCCCGTGTTCCTTTAGTTTTTGTATATTTTTTTCCCAGTACACCAAAACTCCATTACCATCAGTCTATGCTGTGTAGTTACACTCTGGCCTGGGATAACTTTACAATCTTTTATTTGCTTCACACAATGTATCTTCCACATAAAATAATCAATCAAATATATGAACTATTACTCCCACACATAAGTTATATAACGACTATCCCTCTTTCTAAAATAATTATTAACCATATCAAGATCATACAATACTGCGAGTTCAGGAATGTTTCTCCAATCTCATTCTTCCCATTAAAATCAGATCCTCAATGTACTCTTTCATATCCTCCTCTCTCATTACCAACATGTCCATTCATATCTCCATCTATCACCGCATCCTCATTGCCAGGTACTCCTTGCATCACCTCATCCATCTCTCACCAAACCTCTTTCTTGTCTATTTCATCACATCCCACTTGTGGTGCATAGGCACTTATTACATTCAACACTTTTTCTTCGAATATCAATTTTACAACCATAATTCTGTCACTTTTCCTAGCTACTTTTACTACTTTACTTTTCATTTCCTCATCCATTATTATCCCTACACCATTCTTTGTACAATTCTTCCCTGAGTATATTATTTTATACCCCTCACCTATTTCCCTTGATTTCTCTCCTTTCCACTTAGTTTCCTGCACACAACAAATGTTAACTTTTCTCCTCTTCAATACTTCTAATACAACTAATTCTCTACTTCTACCAGTTAATGTTCCAACATTTCAAGTACCTATTCTTACTTTGTATCTATCTTTATTTTCCTCCCTCATACACGAGTCCAGCCTAGAGTTAAATGGTGATGTCCTGGTTACATACATGACTGGTAAAACAGCTACCGCACAAGTTTTCAGGCTGGTATCAAACACTTTATTCTTTATGCCTTCTCCGTTTTTAACAACATTCTGAGGTCCCCGTGTACATCCGAGATGGGCTAACTTTATTTACTGTATTTCGTTTAATTACCCTTGTAAACAATAATTTTTAACTTAAAAATGAATTATAGAACTTAAGATGTGTATTTTAGGATTGATAAAGTGTATAGATCCTCGAACGATTACGTCATAATAAAGCTGCTTACAAATATGATTCAGAGACAAATGGCTAATTTAATTGTTCTTATATTTTATTTTTTTTAGGACTGATAAATATATCATTGTAAATAACTCAGATCATTTATATTATGATTATTTATTTCTATTCTGCGGTGAGCAATTTGTGTGTGATTACGTACACGAAGAAAAGGGTATAAGGAGACCTAGTTTCTTGTCACAAGATTCACGACACATTGAGTAATATGTTTATATTGAAATTTTATTAGTTATCATATTAATTAAATTATTAAATTTTGAATTATTTTTAGTTACACAGAATCAGAAGTATTAATAAAAAATTTGTTTGTCTTAAATTCTGACACAGATGTTTTACGCATGAGTATGTGTATGGAAAGATTAAAAAGTAGTAGAAAAGGTAACTTCTAGGGTATACCTTTTAATACTAACTTTGTCACATTATTATATTAGTGATTTGTAGGTGTACGAAATTATTATTTTTAATGAGAATTTTTTTTGTTTAATTACATTTTATTAGGTATCCCACACAATTATAATATGTGACATTCTTAGCGGGTAGGCCGGATATGTCGGGCCTATCCTGGTGTTAGAGCCAGCATTAGACTGGCTACATATGAAATGTTTAATTCTCAAATGATAAAAAAAAGTTATTAAAACGTCTGTATAGTGATTGAGCCATGGTAATATATGTCCAAATTATAATAGTTAAAATCAGTCCTAAACTTTAATCCTGGGCACGCTATTCTATTTGATTATCACAGAATTTTTTTTAAGTCCAGATAACTTTATGGTTATGAAATATTCATTAAAAAAAAATAATATTTTGATTTAAAAAAAATCATTTATTTTTAATAAAAAGAAGAAAATGTCGGCCTAAAGCCCATAACTCGATTAAAAATGTATAGTTTTATACTATTAAATCCGCAGGGGAATCCACAAGGATCACGGGCCAAATAACCCCACGGACAAAATTTTCCCTGCACTTCTGCAAGAAGGGTTAGAGTTCATTGTCCCCTATCTCTGCAAAATATTTAGGGCATGCCTTGCCAATGGTTATCAACCGGAAAGCTGGCGATAATGATCAGATGAATTCAAATCTGATGGGCGAATGTGAATCCTTGTCCACACTAAGATAAAAACTATTTGAATAAACCTTTTCCTGAAAAAGATGATATTTAAAATCTAAAACCCAGAGAGATACTTAATTCACTGGAAAGACAGGACTCTTTGGTCATCTATAGAGGTGACTTTATGGTCCACCCTTATACAATGATTGGTATAATGTATTAACACTTTGGTGATAAAACTTAGGTGGGTAAACCGAATCAAGACAATTCGGTGTGATGTGCGCACAATGGACCAACAGGTCTGAGTTCATGAGTATTATGTTCACCTCGATAATAACTAAAACTAAATCTTTATATTATTAATTATAACATGTTAGGTTTGGCTTTTAAAATAATCAATTAATTTAAATATTCAAAAATATGTCAAAATATTGAAAACTGATAGTTTTATTGAACAAAATATAATTTTAGTAAAAGTAATGGTAATTGTACAATATTAAAAAATATTTGTAAAAATGTATTATTTAGATATAGTAGTATTTGGTAAGTACATTGGATCGTTGTCGGTCATAAATGCATTGTTAGAATCAGATATTAAAGGCTCAAGAATTAATTTTGTGGAAAATGAATCAGTGGAAAATGTTCCATTCATCGAAAGTCCATATGTCAGTTTATTGATGACAGCTAGAAAAATATCCTAGCTAAACATAATTATTTATTTCTAGATAAAAGATGCCGTTTATGACAAGCTAAAACAATTGGATATTAAAGTATACTCTCAATGCACTTTTGTAAAGTGGAAACTAAAGGATAAAAATACTAGAATTTCTAAAATAACGTTTCAAAAAGACAATAAAAATATACGCTTTAAATGTTCTGGATTGTTTTGGTTTGGACTGAGAAAAATAAGTAACATAACAGGAAATGGTAGGTATTAGCGTAAACAAAAATCTAAATTATAATTTTGCGGTGTTCGAGCAACTTTTTTTTAATAAAATATTTCTTATAAATTCATATTATAATAATTTTAGTTTTGATTCGATCTTCAATGAAATTTGATGGTCATCTTGTTGTGAACAATTCATTTGAGACTAATGATGAATACATTTTTGCTGCGGGGCCAGTGGCAAAGTTCAATCCAGCTTATCGCTTTGATGATGTTTTAAGTCACATACATTTTAGTAGCATCGAAATTGGCACAAGGGTCGCAAATAAGGTTGGAAATCTTTTTGGTATATTTGAAGATAGTTATGACAATACTGACATGGTTCAGCCATTATTTGTGCAATGTCAACTACCGGGCAAATATAACTACTTACATTGTATGACTCCAGGATTTAAGTTTATGGATATAAATACTAAAATTATCAAAACAGGCAACAAAGATGTGGGATATTTTGAAATGGTCGTGGATCAAGCCGACTTTGTTCGGGTGATTTCATGCTATTCTAATAATGTAAGTTGAGTTTAAAAATTTTAATTTGCCATTTTATTGAGATTATTTGTGTAAATGATCAGTTTCACATCCTTCTATTTCTCGAACTTGACATGCTACAGAGGTTGGTGACCCTTATTCACATGTTAGAGATTCAATGATTGTTCTTGGCTAGGCCAATAACAAACGGGATAGGAATTATGGTTGGCTTGAACAAGAAACGAGACACCACTAATGAAAAAATCATAAGAAAAATATCATTGGCACCCTAGGGATCAAACTCGGTATTCCGTGTGCCGAAACATACGTTTCTACCCATTAGGCCAGGCAGATGTTATCATTAGTAGAATGTTAAATTATAACATAAGTATAGAGCCAGATTAAGATTTCTTGAAGCTAATAAACTATAAATTTGTTGCTTATTATGAATAGGTTTGGAGGTAAAGTCGCCGCCTCAAGTACCTGTATAAAACTTATTATTTTGTCGTTGTCTTTGGCTAGGTTCTTCTTTAAAAAAAACAGTAAAATTTTGACCTTAGTTCTTACCCTTAATTTGATAAATGGAGGCCTCGAGCTTGTGAAGAAAATGAAACAATTAGTTTTCGTAAATTTTAATAACGGAATCTTGACTGTAGTTTAAATTATCTTAATGGTAATACGATTTACCATAGTTGTATTAAATTATTTTTATATTTATGTATGAAATATTTCCTTTTTTTTTTTTAATTTTAGTTTTGAATGAGTAATTTTTGTTATAAACACATATTAATTAAATTTATACCATTAATTTTTAGGAATTTCCTTACTTAAATATTATTAAGCTTTGTGGAAAACATCTTTCACTATTCGATATTTCAAAGGAGCGCTTAGAAAAAAATTCTATTACATGTTTTTTTAAATATTTTGACGAGCCGTGGGCTCGAGGTATTTATTTGGATAAATTTGGAGATCTTTTAAATGACCTTGCTCACCATAGAATCAATAAACACTACAAGGTTTTATTTCTGATTTTATACGTACATTAAACGTATTCTATTAAACGTATTAATCCTCAGTTATAATAATTTTTACAGAAAACTGCAAACATTTTTTATGAAAATATCGATAAACTTATACTAAAACACAATTCAAAAACTGTATGTTGAATTATAATTTTCTTTAAAAATAATGTAATATCAGATTTATATTAATTAACATAAATAAATTTAGGTATCTACTTTACCAACATATACAGAGCTCGAGGATGAGTTCAAAGATAAATTTTTGAAAATCATAGAAAATTCCTTATTAAAATTTGTTGAGAATCACTTAGACGAACTTCCAGAATATGCTCACCCTTTGACTATTTCAAAATTTGTTGATAAGGAGAATATGAGCGATTTCTGGAATAAAGTTCTGTATGAAAACGACTGTGAACCTGGTTTATCAAATTGATAACTATAATACTAATGTTAATTACATATTACTAATCTATCAAAGTATATTAGTTGACTATCATTTATTAAATGATATTGGTTACATGTATAGATTCAGACTAGGCTTAAATTTTGTTTGGTCTGACCCAATCAAAGCCCAAGAGAATAAATTCATTATAACTTATAATTAAAATTTTGTAATTAAAAAAAAAAAAAATGTTTATTAAAAATATTATTTTGAAAATTTTAATTGTATATAAACCATTTCTGTGGATATCCCCCAAGGAAACAAAGAGTGGCAATTGCCTATCTCTTTGCTTTTTGCTTAATCAACTATCATTATTAATTTGTACTAAAAAATCCACAAAATAGAAATATTCTAATAAAAAGATTTTTATACTTTAATAGTAAGTTAATAAAAATGCATTAGTACTGCTAAGTATAAGATTAACTTTAAACTAATATTTTATAAAATATTCCAAATAAACCAGATATCTAGAGCAAGTGTCCTGTCTTACCTCTGGCTCCTCAAAACCGGCAGAAATTATTCGATAGTGTTATTTCATAAATAACAACTGATTAACTGAAATTTAGTAAAATATATTGTACCCACGTCATCATTCTTAGAGAATTACTTTTTTTCAAAGTAACAAAAATTACCTTTATGGAACTTAAACATTTTTAAATTTAATACGGTGATATTAGTTTAAATTACTTTTACGCTACATCTAAAAAAATCTTGTTTTTTCTTTAATAAAATTATTATTCAAATGGAAAAAAATCATTTGATGTAATCTGACGGTATTTAAAAAAAAAAGATGTAAAAATTGTTATTTATTAATAAACAGTATATATATTTGTCAAAACATATTATTTTCTAACTTTTCAACCAAATTATCATTATGTTTTAATCTTCATGTATTTCATATTTGGTGCTGCTCAAGGAGTAGATTCATACAAAATATTGTTATCAACCACTTAAGAGACTCGGGGTTGGGTATAAAGTGTAGCCATCAATTCCCTGTCCGTTGGCATATATCTTCCTGTTTCCGAGATTATAACAATTGAAGGTGCTGAAAAAAATATAATAATAATGTCATCATTTATTGGTGGCACAAAAATTATTTTGATGAGTTATTTTCCTTGCTCTTTGCCTTAAAATAACGAAAAATAATTATTAAAAAAGTGGTTGCTTAGCTAATACAGTTAGTTAATACAGGTGATGTACACTTCCTGAATAGGAGTTTATGTGGCACCGATTCTAAGTTAAGCTTTTGTAATTAGCCAACTAAATTTAACTAATTTAATAAGAGCTTATATGTCTACATTATTATTTAAACAATAGATACATAAAAAAAAGTCTTTGCTTAGAATAATTTATTTTGCAGTTTTAGCTTCGATGCGAAGCTGAGAAGGTATTGGTTTTACTATGATGTGTTTTTTTTTTGTGTATGTTACCACTTTTTCTCAGCTTTCATCGAACCGATTTCTTTCAATGATACGTCAAAAGATCACAAATCGTATCTAGTCAAAGAAATTACCCTTAAAAATTGAAAAAATTTCCCTCGTTCCCCGCAAATAAAGGAAATCTCCAAAAAAATTACAAATTTAAAAATCGCTAATCTTCGAAATTTTTTCAATTTTTTTTACTAAAAATTGCCATAACTTTTTTAAAAATAACCAAATCAATATAATTTTTTTTTATATGGATGCATGATATCATTATCTTTCATTTGATATATTTTTTTTTTATAAATCTGACTTTTTACCAGCCTACAGGGGGGGGATTCAAAATGTCAACTTTTTCACAAAAAATTTACTTTTTCAACTTAACTTTTGAAAGTTCCGGAAAGTCTGACACTTTTATATATATTTTAAATTAAAGCTAATGTAATATACTTTATTATGGAAAAAAAAAATTTCGGACTTTATTTTGTCTTCATGGTGAAAATGACTACCGAATGCTATTTTTGTATGAAAATACTCGATTTTATTTTTTACATTTTACATCAAAACAATTTTTATGAGAAATAATATTTATTATTCGACATACTTTATCTTAATCAGAATATAAATAAGGAAATAGCAGATCTTGTAGCTTTTGGAATAATCCACCAATTTTTTAATATTAAACTCTATCTAAAGATTTGCATCGAAGCGTTTTTTATGATAGTGATTTTAATCACTGTCAGATATCATTATACTTGATCCACCTATGCCACGTCACCACTATGCCGCCACCCACTCGTGCTGGGTTTTTAACTTTATAATGCTATAACTTATTGAAAAGTGTATGGATCAACACAATTTTTTTATGAGACACAATATTTTTTAATAATCCCTTTTTCATTCGAAATACTTTATTTTAATCAGAATATTAATAAGGAACTAGCAGATCATGTAGCTTTTGGAATAATCCACAAATTTTTTAAAATTAAATACTATCTAATGATATGCATCGAAGCGTTTTTTATGATAGTGATTTTAATCACTGTCAGATATCATTATACTTGATCCACCTATGCTACATCACCACTGTGCCGCGACCCCCTTTGCTGGATTTTTTTTACATTAAATTATACTCAAGCTACATAGAATTAAAACTTATAAATCAAGTTAAAAACTCTTGATATACTTATGATTTTAGAAGCTAATTACCGTTTATGTATTTATTTAAAAAATGAATTTTAAAAATATTACTCTTATAAATTTACAGTGGAGGCTTTAGCTGGCCAAAATTATAATTAATCAAAATGTTAACTATTGAAGAATAAAAAATATTAAAATATGTTTTTTATGTCGCTTAATTCAAATTATATTTGGACTACTTTTTGTTATAGATCATTTTGATTACCACCTAGTACTTTTGTATAAATGTTCATATTAATATTCAATTTAAACGGTAGTTTAATTTTCTACATTTGATCTGCTAAAACTAATATTTTATTTAAAAAACATCAAATTTAATTAGTGAAGTTTGGGAGCATATTTTTATTACATCAAATTAAAATATACATATATTTACATGTATATATTTAGGTTTATGTATAAATAAAAACAAACGAGTAGATTACAAATATTTGCCACTTCATTTAAGGTGATATTATGGGTTAATTACTCAGTTCTTTAAGATCTAAATTTTGCGAGTATATCAACTCAAATTATTAGACTAAAATTAAAATTATCTCTTCTAAAATAAACATTAGCTCATCTATTTAATAAAAGTTTAACTTCTTTTTTGAATATTAAAATACTCGCGATATGTTGTAATTTACAAACATAAATGGAATACTATACAAAACTGATAATCAAATCTTATTAATCAAGCTTATGACCGTGACACGGATTTAGACTTTATTATTGTTGCTATATTTATTATCACCCTAGTACCCATCAATGAATATTCAAAATATTTTCACTTTTATCGATGATAATTTTTTTTTTTGCCTTTTGTCCAGTTAGAACTAGTATTTCTCCTTCTGTGGAAGGATTTATCGAAGTTTTTGTACGTAAATAGCTACATAGTGATACTATTATCTTAATAAATTTTATTAAAATAATAAATTATTATAATGCATAATAATAGAATTTTAATAACGTTTGGTCGTTATCATTTACCTTGCACCCGGTAGTATCATTAGACGTTAATCGATTTCTTACATTTTGGGAAATCCGTTAATACGTGATCATCAACCTGATACCAACCATCTATTAATTAAGTATTGAGCCTACAAAGATTTTACAATCAACAATTGTACAAATAAAAATATAATAATCTGATGATACATAGAAAAAAATATTTACACATTCACCAATTCCAAAAATCGTATGTTTGAATATAAGCTCATTGTGCTGTGATTCAAAGAAAATGTCTGATCGTTACACTATTTCATTACCAATGGGAAGACGCATAGGACGGCAAAATTTTTCATCTTACCATATGGAACATTTAAGATCTTTAAAAGGTTAGTCAATGCAATATATAAATTTAATTTAAATTATCCATTTTTTACTTAGTAGAATGAATAAAAAATTTTATTTAAGTAAATGACAAATATAGTATTTTGTTTTTATTCATTTTGCTGATTTTTTATGACTATTAAAAGAATTAATATATACTAGAATTATTTCCAAAATGCATTGATACATTTAATTTGTACGTAAAGAAGGAAAAATTTGTCTGATATAACAAAAAAATACCTTGTTGAGGTTAAATTTTATTCTTCCTTTAAACATTTTTTTTTTTTAAATTTAGGATAGTCAATTTTAAGTTAAGGTTGGCAAAGTTCTTCTTTTATCCTCATTTAATTACGCAAATGATTATATATGGTTCTATGTTATTTTATAGTTCCTATAACAAAAAGTGAAAAGAACATTTTTAAGAAAATTTTAGAAGATGAATTAAGTTGTTCGATTTGCTTAGAAGTATTAAAAAAGGTAATATTTTGTTTTAATTTTTTAACTTAGATTTTTCTGTTTTTAATTAAAATTGTATATAAATATATATTAGCCCAAGAGATCTGAATAAATTTCTAAATTATTAACTTATATTTTGTAAAGTTTCTAAACTAGACAAAATCTATACAAATATATGTCTTTAAGTATGAAATTTTTTTTTGTTACATAACTATTTTTACTCTAGTGTTTTAATATAAACTTTTATTTTAGCTTAAGTATTTCGAATAACATTAAAAAAATGTAAAGAAATAAATAACCATGTCAATAATAAAAATAATTAATTATGAATGTTTAGTGCTGGAGATTCAAAAACATTATTTTCAACTACACATACTTTTTTGTTTTATGAATATAATTTTGAGTTTTAAATTTTTAAAAATTAAAATAAAAAAATTTAATTAGACCTATATAATTTAAACTTTATGAATATATAAATGATATACACAAAAAAAAAATGAGTCGCTTTTTTCAAAATTTAAATTTTGGTAACAAAAATCTTAATTTATTAGCTGAAAATCAAAGTTGTTGAAAATTGTAATTTACTGGTAAATAACCAAGTAAATAAAAAACAATGATGATTAAATAGAGATAAATGTTATTAGTTAATATAGATATTAAAATTATAATTATGATTAAATACTAACTAGATATAAGATAAAGTTTAATTTGACAAACAATATTTCAAGAAATATTTGTAAGAACCTTATATGTCTGGTTCTTTTCCTGTTAAAAATAACTTGTTTTTTTTCCTAAAAATATAATAATGAAAACATAATTTAATTTTGCTTACTACATATAAAATCTTCACATTTAACCTTATTTGAAATTTTTTGTTTGTTAAAAAATAACTTTTAGTGTTTTAAAGTTCAAAAGGTATAGTATATACTTTAATTTCATCATAATTTAAATATTTTTAATTTTTATCATTTAAATTATATTTACAGCCATCTATATTAGAATGTGGTCATTTATTTTGCAAGACTTGCATAGAAAAGTGTATATCTAGTTCTCATTTAAATTGTCCTATCTGCAGAAAATTATCTGTTTTAAACTCATCATTTTATTCTCAGCGACTAGAAGAATTAATAAGTATTTTGCAATCAAGTATAAGTCAAAATTCTGATGAGAAGAGAAACACAAATAATCCAACATCATTTAATTCAGGTTATTCTATAAGTCATTGATAAGTATCACATCACAAATACTTTATAGGTATTACTTAGTAAATTTCCTTACTAATAGAGTAATTATATCCAAATATAAGCGATTTGACTGTTACATGAAATAAATATCAATTTATAGCCAAAGGAAATCAATTCTTTATGGATTATACAAGTTTTTATGAAGGCAACAACTAATTTCAATCCAATAATATTTATCAATGTTTTACAATAAAATTAGTGTTTATTTAAGCACATGAAATTTTCATTTTTACCCACCACCAATAATTAATGTGTGAAGATTGTGTTACTTCTGTTCTTTCTTTGATGAGGGGTTGCTATAGGAAAACCAATAATCATAAATATGCAATATAAGGAAATGTATCAGAAATATTCCAGTCAAAAAATTATCCCGGTGGATAGGGAATAAGAATATATCTGCCAGTCATAGAAAGTGACTAATGAGATCATATTGAAACATTAACTAGTAGAAGTATTGAAGAAAAAAGTTAACATTTTTGTGTGCAGGCAACTCAGTAAAATAGAGAGAAAGCAAAAAAAATAAGTGACTGTTATAAAATATACTTAAGCAAGGCTATTACAAAGAATAGTGTAGGGATGATAAAAAAAGTAAAGTAGTAAAAGTAGTTAAGAAAAGTGACAGAATTACAGTCGTAAAATTAATTTTTGAGGAAAAAATGTTGAATGTAATAAGTGCCTATACACCATAAGTAGGATGAAATAAACAAAAAGTGTTTTGGAGAGAGATGAATGAGGTGATTCAAGAAATACCTGGTAATGAGGGTGTGATGATACGTAGACATATGAATGGACATGTTGGCAATGAGAGGGAAGGATATGAAAGAGTACATTGAGGGTCTGATTTTAATGGGAAGAATGAGGTTGGAGAAACATTCCTGAACTCGCAGTATTGTATAATCTTGCTGTAGTTATTAATTATTTTAGAAAAAGGGATAAACGTTATATAACTTATGTGTGGGAGTAATAGTTCATATATTTGATTGATTATTTTATGTGGAAGATACATTGTGTGAAGCGAATAAAAGATTGTAAAGTTATCCCAGGCCAGAGTGTAACTACACAGTATAGACTGATAGTATTTTTTTAGTAGTGAATTTCTAGTATTTTTTGCACAAATATAAAAATCCAGTTAAAAAAAAATTTAATGATGAATCTGTAATTTTATTTTTCATATTTTGGTACTTATTGCATACTTATGCATGTTTAATACTTTTTACTTATGTAAGTATATTAGATAACAAATTTCCCCTCTAAAAAATATTTTTATTAAACCATCCAAATTTTATTTTATTTAAGAAGAGGTTAATTTTAATGTTTGAGGGTATAAGCATTTCCAAACTCCACAATTTGTGTCTATGTAAACATGTTTATTTTTATATATTTTACTATTTCAATTTTGTCATCTTAAATAACCAAAAATTAAAAAAATCTGCCCTAATCATTAACTGTTTCGGGATATTAATAAACAAAATTGTAATATAAATAAAATATAAAAACCGAGGTTATTATTATAATGGTATTATATAAATTAATAATTGTGTTAATAGAACTATAATTATTAGTTCATATCACAAACTATTATAAATAAATAAATAAATGGTTTTTGTATTGATAAATGCAATTTCATAATATTGATTCATATTGATCTGTTCGTAGAGTCAATAACTCAAAATAATAAAAATTATGTTATAAATACAAAAATACATTTATATTATATGATTTGTTCAATTATTCTAATTGATAAATAGTTTCATTATTTCACTTACAGGTACTCAAAGTTTGACTTCAGTGAATCGTAGACCACAATCAGCACAATCTCAGAGATTTATTACAAATAGACCTCCTTGGAGATTTTAATAAAATTTACTGTTTAATATTTACAATTAACATAGCCACAGTGATTTATATTGTATATATATATATATTCTTATTATATTTATAGAATCATACAAATTTATAATTTTTTACAATTTAACATTGTCGAATAACTATATTTTATATCTAAATGTTTATAACTTTTTTGTACAAATAAAGTAATTATGAATTTATTAATAAAATAATTATATATATTATAGTTAATTAGTTATAATATACTACACATGCTTATAATATAAGTATGTTAAAAATCAATAGTAGTCATATTGTTCAATTTATTACAATAGTAATAATATTATATATTACATTTTTTGTAATTATTGTTACAGTTGCATTATAAATTGTAAAAATGACATTTTATATTCAAATGTAAAATTTAAAAAATCCTTTTAACATTCTAATATCTTACAAAAGCTGTTACAGTATAAATATATAAAATAAACAATTTTTCTGTGTTTTTGACCAAATTTTAATAAAAATAATTTCTATTAAATAACCTATACATATTCTATCTAAATAGTGTATTAATCAAATTTAAATTAAAGAGTATAGAAATTAAAATTGAATCATTAGTTTAATAATAGAACAATTATTTTTTGCAAAAATTGTTTATAGCATGATTTAAAATTTTTGAAATTGATGTGTAAAATTTAGCCCTTAATGTATACCAATAATAAAGGTTTAATACTTATACCTATAAGTATTAAACCTTTTTTTTTTTTAATTATATAGGGACTCCAATTAAAATAGTTGGTAATATATTTAATAAAAAAAAAATGTTATCTCTCACATTTTGTAATTATCACTTAAATATTGTAATATTACCAAAATAAGTAATTATGAATTTAAATTTCATATTTATAAAGAATATATTATAAGTGAACTTTCCATATAGTATAGATGATTAATTTATAATAAATATTCAATCTTACAATACTTAAAATTTTAGAGCTTTGATTAAAAAATTTTAAAAAGATTTTTTATATGTTGATAGAATCTGTTGCAGGTTCTCGAGCCATAAACGCATCAAGTCTCAATGGGTGTCAAAATCGCTCAATTTTTTAAAAAAAAAGCATCGCGTTGATGTGTGTGAAACTTTATTGTCTGACTATCAGAACCACTTAAAGTGCTCATTACTGGAGACGAAACTTGGATTTACGCATACGACCCTGAAACCAACAACCAATCCAACGAATATCGTGCAAAAGGTGAAGCAAGACCGAAAAGACCACGGCAAAGTCGATCGTAAATCAAGGTCATGTTGACAGTTTTTTTTTTATTATCGTGGTGTGGTGCACTATGAACTCCTACCGCCGGGCCAAACTGTTAACAAAGTGTATTATTTGAGTGTTATGCGTCGTTTGCGTGAAGCTATTCGTTTGAAACGGCCGGAATAATGGGCGAACAAATTTTGGTTCCTTCATCACGATAATGCGCCATCTCATACTGCATTGGTTCTTCGTGACTTTTTTGCCAAAAACTCGACTCGTGTCGTTCCGCAACCACCGTATTCGTCTGATTTGTCTCCGTGCGACTTTTGGCTATTCAACAAATTAAAAAAGCCGCTGCGGGGACACCGTTTTGACACGATTGATGAGATAAAAACCGAATCAAAGGTCTTGAAGGCAATATCGGAAATGGACTATTTTAATTGTTTCAAAGACTGGAAAAAGCGTTTTAAAAGTGCATTTTGTCGGGCGGGGATTACTTTGAAGGGGATGAAATTGGTTTGATAGAATAAATAAAGAATTTTGATTTTATATACAAATTCACATTACTTTTTGATCTCAGTAGTATTTTCGTACTATCTCTTCTCCCTACCACTATGTATTCGGTTTTGCCTTTGTTTATTTGTAAGCCAACCTTTTTCGATGTTTCCTCCAAAGGCCGAATAGTGTTCTTAGGCCTTCGTGTGATGTATCCATTAAGACCAAATCGTCTGCATATGCCAATAATGCTATGGAAGAATCTTGTAGTGACACCCCCTCCTGGGGTCCGATATTAGTTTCTCTTATAACTTTTTCATATATTAGATTAAATAAAACATGTGACATAGAGTCACCTGTCTTATGCCTGATTTTACTATTATTAGATCGGGTTTTACTCACTATTTCTTACATCTAAAACATTTTTATGAAAAAATAAAATTTATTGTTTATATTTCATATAATTATATTATTTTTTTTAGGAGAGACAGTAAAGATTGTATTTTATTTATGATAAATATATTTATTTTTAATTGTAATATATTAATTATAAAAATAATCTTATTTTTTGAACTTTTTAAGTTGTGTAAACACAGTATTTTTTATTCCATGATTGTTAAATTTAAATTTTAAAAGTTTATTACCAGTTAAATAGATTTATAACCTAATTAGATATCAACTGAATAGGGTAGAAGTTACATTCGTTCAGTAAATTTGCATTTAGTTATCATTATCATGCATAGTTTTATGCATGTTCATTTATTATTATTTTTAAATGTTTTTTCTTAGGATTTTTTTCTGAAAATATTTAATTAAATATTTTATTTCCGTGCTACAATTTCATTATATGTGATAAAAAAACGTCATTTAAACAGGAAACAATGCCTATTGATATTTTGAAATGTTTAAGTGAATAGGATCTACAGTAAATAAAGTACTTTAGGAAAAACAATTTACTTTTAAACCAATTTAAACAATAAAAATAATATTCATAAAAAACCTGCTAATATCTAAGGACAAAAAAATTGACAAAATTAACCACAAACTAGATAAATTAAAAACTATTAGCTGATAAATATACAATTTTAAATTTAACATATGATATTCAAGGTACTTATAAAATCTTTGACTTAAATTTAATATAAATACTAAAAACAACATGATAACAAGAATATGCTAAAAGTAACACATAATGTAACTTTTATGGTAAGTCGAAACTTTGAAGTCGTTTACCTCCAATAGAAAATTTTCGAGATACAAGACTCTTAGACTTGTATTGCAATAATAAGAAATCATGCTGATATTAAAATATCAAAATTTTTCAAATTGTATACTCTAAAATCCTTAATGAAATCAACAAATTTTTTATAATTAGTTTTTACAGCGGTAAATGCATCTTGTTTTCAGTTCCGAAATTCACTGAGAGAAACCACTACACTCAACTTTTATCTAAGTATGCATGATAGTACATTTGTATCCTAGTATATATGATGACACTTATATCAGAGTAAAAGAAGTGCGGATGGAGTAACAGAAGGTTTTGGGTAAAGGTAGGAATGCAACAAAGTTCACCATTCATCCCTTACTTATTTTCTATAGTGATGGATGATATTAATAAAGAAATACAAGGAAATGTACCATTATGCATGTTGTTCGTTGACGATAGAGTGTTAATAGGAAAAAATAGGATGCAAGTTAACCAAAGACTAGAGATGTGTAGATCGAATCTTAGAGGAAATGGATTAATAATAAGTAAGAAAAATATTGAGTATATAGAGTACGAGTTTAACAAAGGAGAACACGAAGTAGGTGAAATGAGGAAATCAGTGAAAATAAACGAAGACATGATCAGAGAGGTGGAAATTGTGTAAACTATATTTATAAAGTCAAATATTTAATGTTAAATACATAAAATATATTACATGTAAAGTTTATATTCTATTTAAAATACAGTTGTCCTATTTTTCTTTATAACTACAAATTGAATAAAGAAACGTAAATTAGGTTATGTTACGTGAGAAATAATTTTTTTGTTCATTACATCAGCTATAATAATAAAAGCATATTATAATCAGACATAATAGTTGTAGTACTAATAGAAAAAGTTTTTGTTAAAAGTTATTTAATGATCATAAATAGAGGTTAGATGTATTTAACATTATAAGGAATAATTTTATTAGCCATTGGAAAACAACAATAAAACTGGTCTAGGATTTTAAAATATATTAGCATTTTAATAACATGATAGGAGAAGTATTGCGGTCCATTAATGCCTAAAAATAAAAATAAACCCAAGCGATCTTCAACTCCTATAATTTTTATTTAAATTCACTCAAACGTACGTGATTATAATTTAAATGTTTCTCTATAATAAAATTACCACTTTTATTGATTTTCATGTATAATTTTCAACTATTTTTAATACAATTCGATGTTAAAATATTATTTTTTTATAATTAATGAAATCTTAATTAATACCCATTAGTAATTATTATTCTCCATTATTTTGGCTTTTTATTTGATCTTTCAATGACAATTTGAAAATTTTGTGAAATCGTATGTTACTTGTATTATGACATTTGTTGATTTGCATCTGAGCTATCTCGTTATAATTACTACGGACGCAAACGGGCTATGAAAAAGGTAATAATAAAAAAATGGGACACCATTGGAAAATCCTGGTTAAACATATGTTTTTTATATCTAAAAAACTTAAGTTCGTAAAAATTATAAGAGGTAAAGAAACAAATATTTTTTCTGGGATTTATAGAATGTAGGATGGATACTATTAACAAACAAAAAAATAAAATAGTATTAAATTTTCTATTTTTAAATTTATCTCGTGAGTGATAGTTAATCAATTACCTTGTATGTTCAACCACGTTTATAATAAAATATATTGCATTTAAGCTATTTTTGATTGAAAAATGCAACTTTAAATTTTAAATATTTTGGTATAACTTTTCTTTTTTAAGTTTTATTAACTTTTCGACCAAATTATCATTATGTTTTGATCTTCATGTATTTCATATTTGGTGCTGCTCAAGGAGTAGATTCATACAAAATATTGTTATCAACCACTTAAGAGACTCGGGGTTAGGTATAAAGTGTAGCCATCAATTCCCTGTCCGTTGGCATATATCTTCCTGTTTCCGAGATTATAACAATTGAAGGTGCTGAAAAAAATATAATAATAATGACATCATTAATTGGTGGCACAAAAATTATTTTGATGAGTTATTTTCCTTGCTCTTTGCTTTAAAATAACGAAAAATAATTATTAAAAAAGTGGTTGCTTAGCTAATACAGTTAGTTAATACATATGATGTACACTTCCTGAATAGGAGTTTATTTGGCACCGATTCTAAGTTAAGCTTTTGTAATTAGCCAACTAAATTTAACTAATTTAATAAGAGCTTATATGTATACATTATTATTTAAACAATAGATACATAAAAAAAAGTCTTTGCTTAAAAATATTTCATCAAAATTCATTTAATTTAATAAAATATATTCCATTTAAGCTATTTTTTATTAAAAAATGCACCTTTAAATTTTAAATATTTTGGTATATAAAACTCATTTTTACAATTTTTACGCCTTAGGACGGTGGTAGAAAAGTAAGCAGATTTTAGTAATTGAATTTTACCTCTCGTTAACACTATAAAGCTAGAATTTATTTTTTGGTTTTGAAATTTTTTTACAACATAATTGGGTAATTTTAAATTGAAGTGTCCATTCAAAGCGTCGAGACTCATGTTCTAACATTTAAATAATTTATATATTTTGAACAGTTCATTTTAATGCTTATTTCAAAACGTCTGTGGTTTATACACCAAATGTATTTGAGACTTAAGACCGACTGGTATGACATTCTTTTAGCGAAGTGTCACGGAGTAAGAAAGAGATAGGCGTCGGCGCGTTAACTCTCGGTGGGCGGTGGTAGATCTGGTAGCGGTGGGACTGGTCCGGCGACGAAATGGTCGGCCCCGTAGCGTTTTTCCGCAAACCGCCGATAACCGAAGGCCGCGTCGCCGTACAACGCCTGTCGTCATATCGTCCCGCGACATGCAGACTAGGTCTTGCGTCGGACTACTCTTGGTAGGTTTAGTATACTTTCCGTTACCATACGTCCCGGTTGCGACTCTTTTAACGTCCCGGGTCGTTCGCACGTGGCCACGTGATATCGATATCATCGTTATTTTCCTCCCAACTGTGTGATGTATCAAATTTTATAGTTATTGTTATTGCTATTTTAAATAAAATAAGAAAATAAAATCAGTGTTTTTGATCTCTTCAAGTTAAATTTTCATTTTGGCGAATCGATTAAATAAAAAAGCTGGAAAAATATTTGATGAAAATACAAATTGTTGAATAAATTTAGATAACTAAGGTAATTAAATTTAATCGGTCAAATTATTTAGATGCTGGTTAACTAAGTTAAAATTACACATGTGATTATTATTAAAATTACTCATTGCTGTAACAATATGTCGTAGAAAAAAATATGTTTTGTCTTAGGCGTAATTCAGTATATTTTATCAATAAAGTGAATAGTTTATAGATTTTTACGTCGATTTTGTGTAAATAAAACTGTATTCGGTATTAAATAACATCTAATTAAGTAATTATAATAAATTTGTTGTAATATTATAATAATATAAAATGCCGCCTGTTTAATTATTTAAAAATGATTATATTATTATTAATTAAACTTTCTTAGTGTTATTTCAAAACATAAAATACATTATATTTACTTTTCAAATTTAAATTGAAAGCTGATTTGTATCCAAATAATCTAAGATCTGTTAATTTAGGAATGCTGAGGGGCCAACTGTTATGTGAAATATTTTTATTTACTATTCTTATCATCACTTACTAACTTATAAACAAACAACAAATTCAGCTTTACAGTTATAAATAATATTTTTAATACAACAAATTTTATTGTAATCGATGCACCTTTATTATGTACATTTGTTGACAGTTTTAGTTGTTACATTTTATGTACACGTAAGTACTTGTACATTTACATTTAAAACCTTTTGTTATAACGTGTGTAGATAAAAAATGATATCAATACCACTCCAATAATTGATTAAACATGAATAATCAATAAATATTGTGTACATAAGTTTGTTAAGTACAAAGTATTTATTGACTTATTTAGATTTAGAGCATTGTTAGACAGAAGTATTTTAGATGATAATTTATACACTTAATAATATTTAATTCTCTTCTCTAAGATAAAGTTTTAAAACCTAATTATGTTTATTATAAGTATATACACTTGCAGAAATACTAGAATTTGTACGGATTAATTTTTAAATACTTTTTTTTAGTTTTTTTTTATAGGTTGACATATGAAAAACTAGGATAGGCGTCACTTAAAGATTAATAATTAAAAATAAATATTCTAATATTTTTTCTAAATTTCTTTAACTTTTTTTAACTACTTTACAATACACAGATTTCATGTATATTCCCATAATATTTAAGTGAACGTAAGTAAGTTCTATAATTTTTTTTTCTATTTGGAAAAATGTTTAATATTTTTTTCAGCTGTGGTAACAAATAGTTTTTCAGTGGCGTAATTAGTGTATTGGGAAGGATATTCAGTGAATTTTCTTTTCAAAGGACTCTTATTAGACTTATTAATTCTTTAAAACGAAAAAAGTCTATGGTGCTCGATTTTTTTTATAGATGAAAATTAACGTTTATTTAATGGAAATCTCCTTTTAACGGAAAAAATTTTGCCCTAAAACGTATTCGTTAAAATGAGATTTCACTGTACATCTTTCATTCATTGATCTTACTAGTAAATTTGTATTTTTTAATGAAAATTAAGTTGAATTAGAGACATCTTTAAACATAATCAATATTGATATCAGCAAATCGCTAAAACAAACATCATATATTGTAGCTTTTTCCGTATCATATTGCAATGTAATTACAATATTTTTGAACTCGCAAAGAGAAAAAAATTTGCATATGTAATTTGCAAGCAAGCAAATGAAATCATAACCGCGTGTTAAACTACCGTGCCGGTTTCGCTCAAATGAATCGATCCTCAGTGTGCGATTATAATACACGCGTTTTTTTCGCAATGAGATAACCACTTAAACATTGATAAATCTGATATCATTAGTTAGAATGATGGTAAATACAGAAATACTGTTTTTCACGAATAATTGTCAACAACGATTGATATGTTGTGCAAAATTTAATTGTTAGTGCTACTTATTATTAATTTGGAAAACATATCGAGCCATGTAGTTTTTGACATTATTTGTCGATGCTAAAGCAATGAACATCACTTAAACGTTTTGCACTGTATGGACTTGAAACTATGTTATAGCAGGTGTTGTATTTAATTTTAGTTTTTGATAAAAAGAATTCACAAGGAATATTACAAGTTGTTCACGAATTACTTTTGTTTAAATACAAAAAGTCGCTTCTGTTTGACAATGGTTGAAATTATATTTTTATTAAGTTATTAAAACAAACTAATGAATTTATCTGTCGATTTTTTCTCTTAGTTGAGTTAATAAAAATAAAAATATATTTTTTTTTAACACTTGCATTTATAACGTTTGTGTTTATATGGTTTTTAGATGGAACACTCGCCGTACTCGCAGAGTCCGAGTCCATCGCCGTCCCTGGTCAACTTCCCGTCGCCTGCTAACTTGCCTGACATCAGATTGCATAGACCGTTCAGCCAGGTATATTATGTAACATTATGGTATACTATTTCAATAACCACAGTCAACCACCGTGTCAATATATTTTGTTTTTGTCGTATAGCAAACAAAATAGTATCAACATCGTGTATTTTCGTGTCGTTTGTATTGTTTTGTGCTTTCAAATTGTATGATTATTGTAATGGCGTGTATGTGTATTAGATGTTCTGAGAAAGGGTAAATTGGGATATGTTGGCGAGAAACAGTTTGCTGTGAAGTCTTTTAGACACGTTGTAAGGTGTAATAATAATACTGTAGTTGTATAATAAAGATAACAATTATGTTGAGTAGAATAATGGTTTGAGATTTTATTGTTTTTACTGCTTGCTATAAATATTTCAATATAAATATACTGCGAAAATCTCTGTAGCATAAATTGCTGGGATAGCATCGTACGTATTAATGCAACATCATTAAACATCATTGAAATTTATGTACAAGAAAACAATTTTTGAAATAGATTTCTAAATTAAATTAATATGAGACATTATACTTGATTGTAACTTTTCTTTCTCAAATCATCAATAATAAACTCAAACATTAAGTTTTGTGTTTGATAAAGTAACAAAATTGTATTGATCTTTTATACATATAATTTTACGAATAATTAATATTAAATTAAAATCTCCGTTTTTATATGGATAAAGAAGTTTAGATTACTAATTATTTTTAAAAATTGTTTTACAAATAGGTTTCATTTAACATTATAAAACCAATAAATCTAATTTGAAACATCCAAAACTTTTCTCTTTTGAAGAATGACTAAACAATTATTCGGTAATATAAAGCTATCGTGCAAGTTTTCTTAGACGTTTTATAAGTATACATTTTATTTGAAGTAATTAATATTATTTTGATTTAAAAAACTCAACGAGGAATAAAACTTTATAGAGATATTAGATTGTTTTGTATTTTCTTCGAATAGCAAGCACGACCTAGTTTGATTTCCTACTTAGGTGTCGCTTGTTATCAAAGAGCAAGTACGAATGATACATATTATTTTAGTACTCTAGTGGGTACTTACTGCTAATGCAACATGTGTATCAAACGAAATTAAGTATAAAATCTCACTTATAATTTCATGATAAGTTTTTTATTCCAATTTTTATAAAGTGTGTTTATTAATACTAGAAATATTATGTCTTTTTAATAGTAATTATGAGTAATAAAATGATTAAAAAATTTGATTAGGTAAATAAAAAATAATAATTTATTACGATACGGAAAAATATAAAGAATTATTCAGTGATAAAAATGTAACTAGCTCATGCGGGATTACTCATACGGTAGTAATAAAAAAATAAGTACACCTAATATTGAAAAACCCTAGAATTTTATTAATTGTGTGATAATTCATAAATCGAAAGTTAGTTAAAAAAACATTACATACACCCTATTGTATGTAATTTTTTTGTTTAACTTAAATCTAACTTTATTAACTACTTTGTTATAATTTATATTGTTAACGTACGTTCTACTGCAATTGGACGATTTAATCACACTTGTGGTAAGAGACAGAGTGGTACATCATATAGCTATGTGCAACTAATAACATTAACTCACTTTTTTTTTTTAATTTTCAGGACATCAAAAATATAATTTACTTTCTGATCATCTCCTAACTGTTTATTAATTTTTTAAATAGTTTAATTCCGATTTAAGTCAAATACTTGATATTTTGGCGAAAGTTATTATAAAAAAAGTAAAACCTAAGTTCAAACAGCTCATAATTTCAAAGCCAAATTTTTTAATTACTGCCTTTTTTATTGCTCATATTAATATTACAAACATATTTTTGTTTCACCAATTATTGCAAAAAAAACATATTAGTATTTTCGTCTAGAAGACATCAAAACTCATCATTTAAACAATTAAGATTCAACAACTCAAAAAATTGAATCAAACATCAGTAAATTTATAATTTAGGACGTCAGGATTTGCTTAAGAAAAATAAATATAGTTATTTATTGGGCTTTGTGTTTTAAAGATAAATCATTCTATTTTTGTTATTTTAATACATTATATAAATCATTGTCGTTATTCACAACGCGCCTTGCTATGCGACTTATATTCAAAATACATATATAATATATATTTATATGATATTATAGAATTAGTATAGAAGTAGATGACAAGGTTTCCGTAGATGCGAGTTCAATTAAGTTGACTTTGCCGAAAGAAAATTATACGCTTGCAGTTTAAATCGAGACGATTCTCGATATCCTTAGTTATTTCACTAGCAGCATGTGTTTTTACATGTATGGAAGCGTTTAGGCTTTATTTCCATATAAATAGTATTCGGTTACCACACGTACGTGTGGCCATTTGTCGTGTCACATTTTTTATCGCGTTCAACAATCCGGCGTAAATCTTTTCTCGAAAACTGCACTTGTTATCATTACATCTTGCCATTTACGTACGCTTCTGCAGTTTTACACTGTACCATAAAGTTTTTGAGGCAATCAATCTTGTCCACTTGTAAGTGCAACACTAGTATAATATTACATCTTCTATTGGATAACTTATTGTTTAAATATTATAAATACTTAAAAACTGTTAAATATTTTTCTTTCTTAGAAAATTTCATTGAAATCATTATCTAGTAGATGACAGATATACTGTAAAATGTGTTGTACAGCCAAAATTAAATGCTGCATAAAAAAAATAATACAAACGTCAAAATTCAGCTAGTCAATTTTTATAAATCATCGATTGTAATTATCAAAATAGACTAGGCAATAATAATAAATAAGGTAGACGTTGTAATTATTTGCTTCTGCAATAATGAAGCAAATCAAACATGAGAGGAGAACAAGTTATTAAAGTGTTATTGAAAAAATAATTGTCTTGGACTTCGCAAATATTAATTAATTTTAATGTGTTATCCATAAAATTCAACTATAATTTGTTTCGTGGCTAATTTTAAGGATTTTATGACTTATGACTTCCCGGTATTACGCGAAATACTTCTCTTCCATATCTTTATGCGTCATTTTTATAAGTAGTTTATTTTCTCTTATTTATAAAGCATAATACAATGCGCAACAGTCTAGTAGAGTCTTAAAAACACGAGTAAAATTCCTTATGATTAAATATTGAAAGATATAATCCAAGGCAACCATCGTTATTATTCAGAGAGCACGGTAGTGTGTCAGGCCAATGCTAAAATATTAGATTTGCTAGTGTATCTATACACAAAATAATTTGCCCGGTTTTTTAACCCCATATCTTTGTTTTATTCTAAGATATGCTTTTGAAATTTAAAACATAAATTAGGATTTAGTAGTTTAAAATACTGAAAAAAATTTAACCCTCAATGATATTGAGCTATTTTAAAATTGAGGAATTTCAAAGTTTTTATTTTTTAAAACCATTGTAAATATCAAGTTTGTTGTAAGAAACAATTATTCCGAAGGGTAGATTTTAAAGGTCATTTTCGATGATTAAATGGTTACCTATTTTAGCTTCGATTCGAAGCTGAGAAGGTATTGGTTTTACTACGATGTGTTTTTTTTTTTTTTTTTTTTTTTAACCACTT